AATCGCATTTATTAATACTCTAATAATTTTAGAGTATCTAAAACTCTAAAAATGTTATTAATACTCTCGTTTTGCCTCCATGGTGTTAAACAAGAATACACTTAAAAATACCTTCTTTACTTGTTTAATTTTGTAATATAGTGTATTTACAGTGAGACACAAAGGGCATTTTCTCCTATAGAACACAACATAAGTTACATCAATTTTACAAACAAAATAGGCTACATCAATTTTATTAGTTTGATGTAATTCAAATATTTAGAATCCACCTTGTTTGCAAGAAACAGATCCAAATTCCTTTTAGCCAGTGGTCTAAGTTAGTGGTTCATCACTATTTCTTCAAATCCCATGCTGGTGATCATATCAGTGATGAATTCAAATTCAAAAATTGCACCCTCAAGAAGCGTTACGTCATGTTTTACGGCAAGCCTCTTTGGCTCTTCCCGTCAAACACAGTCTCATGAAAGTGCGTATCTATACCACGATTGTCATTTCTCGTGGCATTTATATGCCAAAACTGGTTTTTGCGTGCATATGCTACGCACTGAAAAACCCCTGGGTAGGTTTAGGGGGAAGGGGGTGGGAAGTTGTTATATGCACGCGAAAAATGCGTACCATATACACGCAAAAACTAGTTTTGGCGTATAAATGGCACGAGAAATGATATTCGTGCTATATATACGAACTTTCATGAGCGACATGTTCCAGACAGTCGGTGACGGTGTAAAATGGAGAAGCGCACGCGCCTTCATAGAGCGAACCAAAGTATACCCCATACAAAACTAATACTGCCAGAGAGGACTGTGACTGCAACATATCAGCATGTGAACGACTTTTGGTATAGCGGTTTTGACATTTTCCGCAATAAATAAATTATTGTGATTACATTTGTAACATCAACATTATGTTATGTTTTTCTTCATAACGTTAGTCTATGTAACCTAGTTGAATGGTTGTGGATAGGTTTAGGTGTAACATTAGGAGTAGGTTTAGTGGCTCAAAATATATTTAAATACTGTTAATAAAACTTCCCTACACATCTCTGTAGTCCATTATTTATCCTTTTTATGTTCTGTATAAAATGGGTGTGTTTAGGTTTGGGAATTGGTTTAAGGGATCTTACATTTATCTATAAAAATGTAAAAGGGAAATTTTACAGATATCTTTCTGATATTGAATATACACAGTTAACGTTTTGTACCTGTAAATCATGTTACGTTTAAATGTCCATTTTATACATTTCAGCATCTACCCAAAGTACGTTTTCTATCTTTGAAAATAAGATTAACAATGAGACCAGTCTGGCCAACCAGCCTCTTTGGACACCTGTCATTCCACCGTTGCTTTACAGCTTCCCGTCCTCTGGTTTTCACAAGACTCCCTGCTGGATCTGTGAAAGCTTTACCAGAAGCCTGAGATATGGACAGACACACAAACACTGACGGAAAAATAAAACATATCGAATACGAAAAAGACAGCAGAACTGGATGCACATCAAATCCATTTGAAACCCAATAGCTCAAACAAATACGGAACAGACAAAGTATTTTAATTTACACATATTGTGAAGTGCCAAAGGATCCTTTGAGTCTAACTGGCTTTTCATTTGGACCATAAAAAACATGGTGAATCCAAACCCATTACCAAAGGAATGACAGGATATTCAAACCCTTTCTCTCCTCAGTATGCAGGTGCCGCTGGTTAGGATATTTAGGGCATGTATTATTCCACTTAGAGAATTATTCAAGGTTTTGTCTTGTACTCAGTATGAAATCATTCAGATCAGTTCTAGGTCATACACGTTTTTGAATTTTTGGTGGAGTTCATCGCAAGTGGAAACTTTCTAATACTTTTCTGATGTCTTTAATTACAGGTCCGACTCTTTTTTTGACATCATATCAACGGCATCCAGCGTAGAGGTCAGTGTTCAATACTTTTAGGAGAGAGACACTTTAATACAAAGCAGCTTGTAATGCATTTGTCTGGGAATCAAATATCATTGTTTGCAGTGTGCATTACCGTTTGTGCTAAAGAGGTCTCGTACTGCGATTTTGAAGCCTTGTGTCCCAAACAGTGTCTCCCTTTTCCATACACCATTCAGCTTTAAATCGCTTAACCTTAATTTGGACCAAGTTGTTGGACCAGTTCCCATGCAGAAAATGGTATTAGTGGAGCAATTCTGTTGCCATGGCAACTAGTCTCTACAGTGCCGTCTCCAGCCACAGGGGATGATGGAGCGCTGTTGATGTTGGATAACAGAAGCAGATGGAGAAGGAAGGAGTGAGTTAAATGATCTGAGAGCACTAGACCGGGTTACAGTTCACAGACTCTATATTGAGCTGAACAGAGGGATCCACTGAGTGTGGGAGACTTTGCTGAGACGAGACTGAGAACAATGTTGAAAGTCCAGGGAAAGTGACACTCAGCACTATAGAAAATCAGTTTGTCAGTTTTTTTTGACAAATGTGAAACATACATGTAGTTGTCACTGTTTTAGATAATAAAAAAAAATATATCGAGATGTTTTACAAAAATGTATTTGTCTTATAAAGTTTATAGAATATACACTACAATTAAAGGTTTGGGCTCAGTAAGATTAAACATAAAAGTTTTTGAATGAAGTCTCTTATGCTCACCAAGGTAAATATTATTACAATTTAAATTAGCTGTTTTCTATTTTAATTTTTTTTAAATGTAATTTATTCCTGTGATGATGACAGCGGAATTTTCAGCATATTACACCAGTCTCACATGATCCTTATAAATAATTATAACAATTACCTCACTTCAGATATTGTAAAGTATCTGATTCACACCAAGAACTATAACAATAACAACATAAGCGTCCACACACCAGCAGACGATATGGTTCTGTTTGTCCATCACTTTAAATGCTCGTGCTCTTTAAAGCAGAATGGATTCTGATGGGCTTTCAATGTTTTTCTCATTCATCAGCTGGATAAAATCGTTCTGAAAGTGATTCCAATGATAATTGAACTCTGCTATTCTGTAATACTGAGAACGATTTTTGGAACTATGTTGTTATATTTATAGTTATCATCCTTGGTGAGAACGGTCCAATGCTGCAGTTGTTGGTTTTGAAAGTTTTGCTTGTCATGATCAGTTTGATATAAACTGCTCTGAGGACTGTTGTAGGGTCAGTCCCAGTTGGTTTTAATACTTCATTTGTTTAACAATTTCGGCAATTTAAGTGCTGTTCGTATTGACGTATACATTATAGGCTGAACTTTACAGCATTGCTTATTTATTCAAATGGTTTTTAATATGGTTAAAACTGTAATTTAACAGTAAATGGTCAATAGAATGAATTAGAATTCAATTAAAGCCTAATAGGCAAAGGCCAGAGTTTATAGATTTAAACCCACATGATCATCAGGTGTGGGCCTTTGAAAGAATCAATCACTGGTCGCTTCAATTTCCTGTGTTTAATACATAATAGTAAATACAGCCGCTTCAGCCTGAAGGTTAAAAGCGATCTATTGTGATCTATTAATTGTCTTTGAAAGACAGTTGTAGTTGGACAAAGGCAAGGTAATACTGATGACCCAGGAAAGGCATTTACATAAGAGCTTTGGAAAGAGGCTCCTAATATGCAAGTCGCAGATTGTCTGTGTGTGCAGGTGGTCGGCGTTGGCTCATGCAAGTCTACAAACTGGAAGGTTTGTGGTTCAATCCTCGATTCCACCTGACCAAGTGTTGAGGTGTCCATGCAAGCTGCTCCCGACTAGCTGGATGGCGCCTTGCATGGGAGACGCCGCTTTCACTGACCCTGTCACCACACACTGTCAGTGTGTGAATGGGTGAATGTGAGGCAATATGTAAAGTGCTTTGGTGGTCATTGGGTCTGTGAAAGTGCTATATAATATGCAGTCCATTTACCATTTACCTTATATGTGTGTGAGAGCTTGTGGTCACAGTTAAAGTAGAGGACACTGCCAGTAGCAATCTACCTGCAGATCTCATCTAAACTGTACTCACAGAACCTATACAGCCTCTCTTCCCTGTTCATCTATCAATCTCTCGCTCACTTTTACTCTTCCAGGCCTCTCACAGTCTGTCTGAATTCATTGAAGCTCTCATGCTTTATATTTTTCAGTCCTGACATATTCAGAATTTGGTTTGTCATGTTTAATTGGCATAAATAAATAATAATAATAACAACAAATATGTTACAGGTTTTAAAAACTTCTTGACATCGATGTTTGCTCGTTCTGTAGGAATGTGTTGATAGTAGAAAAGCCCTTTTTTTTTACATCAGCATATGGAGATAAAGTTCAGTGTAGTGCATACAAAATATATAGACTGACAAAACCAGAAGGACACGGACAGGTCTGTATGGTGAGCTGAAGTTTAGCGGTTGCAGCAAATTTTCTTTGCTTTTGCTGAATTACAAATCACCCCCATAGTCTTTTGCCCCCATCATGTTTGTATAAAAGTATATCACCTCTGTATTATAAAGGTTAGGATTAAATTCACATAGTTTTTGGCTTCTAAATATGGAAATGCAGAAAGGCAGTGTAGCTGTCCGTTATAAGGCCGTCCACCAGGAAGTTAAGCAGTGTTACATTTAATTAAACATTATTTACAGCAAATTTACACTAAATGTGCAGTTCGCTCAGGCACGGATCTGATGGGAACGCTCTTTTACTCTCTCTTCTCCTCATCATTAACTCCTTAATGCTGTTTTTCTTTCTCTGTCTTTGTTCTGAAAGAAAAGAAAACAAAGTGATGAGAGAACTATAGGTTAAGGGGTCTTTATACATCTTGTACATCCATTCATTTTACAGACACATACAAACAATTATCTCATTAGATTTTTAAACACATTAGGACACTGATGAGCAGTTGAACTCTGACCGTCATTACCAACAGGTCTGAACCGTAATCAGGACCATCTCAGAGATAGATCTCATTTAGGGAATCTGACGTCATCTATAGGCCAAGGTCATTGTTCCACCTGGTCCAGATTAATCAGAAGGCACAGCTGGGTGTGTGTGGTGATGAGGTGCCATTGCATTGACACTTGTTTGTGGCATGTTTGTGTGGTACTTGCTTGCTGCCTTCTTTATGTGAATAAGTAGCATGAAATCTGTTTGGGGTTTCGGCACAAAAAGTATTCTCATCACTTCATAACATTAAGGTTGAATCACTGTAGTCATATGGACTATTTTAACAACCTTTCTGGGCCTTGAAAGTGGTAATAACATTGCAGTCTACGTGGGGTCAGAAAGCTCTCGAAGTTCTTCATTTATGTTCTGAAGATCAACAAAGATCTTGAGGGTTTGGAACAACATGAGGGTGAGTTATTCATTTTTGGGTGAACGTTAGTTTAACAGCTTTTAAGCAAAAAAAATATGTGAAATATTTCTCAGTTTCTGGATTACACCATTCGAATAATATACATTATACAAGTAATTACAGCTGTTGCAGTTCTTTAACTTTTTTTTGAACAAGCAACGTTCCACAAGTCTCTTTTTCTGTCACAATGATAGTGTAATATACACTGTAAAACATATTTTAGCTGTAAAAGTTTTAAATAAAAAATATTATTGGAGTATATTTTAGAAGAAATATTTTTTTAGTCAATCTACTTCAAAATTTCTTGTTTGGTGAAATGTGTTGCTTGACATTTTTTTGTAATTTGTTTTTTTACAAAATCTCAGAGGGAAAATTGTACAAAATAAAACACAGAGTACTTGAGCCTTACCTATGGGTAAAAATTACTTCTTAAGTTGAACTCATAACAGAAAAATAAGTGCTTTCAGCTGATAAAACAAAGTCTTTTAAATGTTTGACATTAAACACTGACAAATTGCAAGTTTGAGTTCATCAGCCCTCATTAATTGGTTGCAGCCGATGACATTTTTATTAATAAATAATCAATCCTCTATGCCTCATCAAATACGACCATATTATTTCAGTAACAGCATGTGAAATACTAGATGAAAGGATGAATCTAGAGTGTTTTCATTAAACTGTGGTGTTTAAAGAGTCTGTTCAGGATTAGTCCTGGTAATGATAATGAGGGTGTTGAAGGCTTTGGTGGAACTCAGGACATACATGAACTGTGCAGGAAGACGCTCAGGTTGTCAGGGGAATAGACCAGATGTTTCCAGTACAGACGCAGACGCATTGCAGCCTGTGCAGTGTGTGGTTTTGTGTACCTCTAAGAAAGTTTTGTCAAGAGCCAAATGAATCATTTGTTTTCATCACAGTGGGTCATGTAAACACTTTAGTTTACAATGCGGTAAATGTTCATTAATGTGGTTGAAGTCAGACCAAGCATCTTAAGGGTTCTGTGCCAACATGGACCGTTTTTATGATCTGACGATCAAGAAATTATGGTAATGAAAGCTTAAAAAGCTATGGATAAATATCTGCTTATCTGTCAATTGCACACTCGTTGCACTGAACATTGATAAATTAAACTTTAAAGCGATAGTTCACCCAAAAGTGAACATTGTCATCATTTACTCTCCCTCATGTCTTACAAACTTGACTTTCTTTTCTATGACTTTCATTTGTAGAACACAAAAGATTTTTTTTTGGAAAAAAACAAATGAAATATTCTTCAGAATATCTGTTTCACAGAAGAAAGAGTAGCCTAAATCATTTTTGAGTGAACTATCCCTTTAAAAAACTCAGATAGATTTCTGAATGCACTGACCTCTAACCTTGAAACTTTCACAAATTAATAATAATTTATTATTAAACATGTTTTATAGGTTTTGACTAGGGCAGCCAAATGATTAATAGTGATTAATCACATCCAAAATAAAAGTTTATAATAATGGGGTGCACTGTGTATAATTATTATTTTATATATATATATATATATATATATTACACACACATGCGTGTATATTTAAGAAAAAAATATTATTTATATATAAAATACTTCTATTTATATATAATATAAATATATATATACAGTATATACATGAAAATATTTCTTAAATATATACAAGCATGTGTATGTGTATATATATATATATATATATCATAATTATACACAGTGCACCCACATATATTATATAAACACAAACTTTTATTTTGGATGCGATTAATCGCGATTAGGTCTGACCTCTAACTAACCGTACATTTGATGCAATAAAATCAACAATGTGTGTGAGAACAAAGGTATTTTTAGGCAATATCAGAAACACTTTAATATAAAATAAGTTATGAACTGAAAAAACTAAAAAAATGATCCTTTTTTATTTCAGCACACAGGCCTCCATCAGGGCTAAATGAGTGCAAACTGACGAAACTCATACATTTTGACAGCTACTCACCAGCCGTCTCTGGTTACTGAGGCAGAAGGTGCAGATCTGTCTGGGCTGTGAGTTTTCTGAGTCCGGGCTGGGTGTCGAGCTCTTTTGGTGATTGTGGTGGTGATGATACAAGGCTCCTGGACTCCCGAGACAGGGCTGGCCGTCTCCACACTCCTCTCCAACCAGCAAGACGTTCCCCAGGTGTGAGATGTAGCTGGAGGCCAACCGCAATGTCTCAATCTTGGACAGCTTCCTGTCGGCTGGTTCGGTGGGTATCAGCGTCCTCAGAGCGGTGAATGCCGTGTTCACACTGTTCGTGCGATCCCGCTCTCGGGCATTTGCGGTGTTCCGCTGTCGTACCTCAACAATCTGTGAACGGATCTCGGTAGGAACCGCTACCGGTCGGCAGCTATACCTCTTTTTGGGAGCACCCAACTTAAAGGCACCATAGCTGTGGCTAGCCATACGGAAGGACTTGTCTTCGGATCCAGAACCCTCGCTGCCGTTGTCGTCGTCCTCCGAATGCATGCTGATCTCAGAGCACAAGAAATGACCCGGGGTTGGTCGCACCATTGCGAAAGACATCCTCAGCACCTTACAGGACCCCTGGACCTTGCTTTTCAACCGCGCACCAGAGCGCAGAATATTTTCTAGTCTACACAAACCCAAGAATGAACTCAATCCCTATTTCTAATCGGACACACCAGGACACACTAGTGTCGTTTGAGTCCGAGCTCCTGTTACCAGTTTAGCTTAAGGGATCCAACCAATCCAGCGATGCTTGACTGAGTCACTTCTGACTCACTCATTCACAAGAAATGCTCTTCTCTCCACTGTCATCAGTTATTTGGGCTAACAGCATGCCTAGGCGCCTCCCAGAATCTGTATGTTCGCGCTTGTGTGTGTGTGTGTGAATGGGTTTGTGAGCTCCAGATCCTTCAGTTCCACGTGTGATTTCAGCTGAGCGTTTCCTTATGCCTTGGATTTATAGTCAGGGGGTGTGGCTGGGGTTCGCTCTCCCTTCAACCACCCTAGATGTGAAATCCAGTGAGCAAGTGGGAGGAATGAGAGAAAACGGGGACCTCTCCCTCTGTCTCTTTCACTCCACATTAGTATTTTTTAAAAACGTGACCCTGAAGTGCTTCCACAGAAGATTAATCAGTGTGATAGATTGGTTCGTTTCTTTCAGTGCATTAAATTTTTTTTAGTCCTTTCACACTGAATTTTCAATTCAGTCCATTAACTCTCCATTTTTTGTCCACGCTCTCTTCACTCTTTGTTAAAAACAGGAGTCGTCAGGGCCAGGTGCTCATGAATCAATCCAATCTGAACCTAAATACAGCGTTCAGTCTGTGGACGTTAGCCCAGATCGTTTTGCCTTTGGCACCATAGTCACAGGAGGCCTGACAAATGATTGCACAGTTGTTGAGGGGTAATATAACGTGATATTATACAACATTCATAATAATGGTAATAATTTTCATCATTCACAATATTGGTTCTTGTGCATGGAGATTGTCCACTAGCAGCTCTAGAGCTGATTAAACAGGAAGTGCCCTGGGCTGGGGAGAGTTTTCACTGTAAGCACATAATGACTCTCATAATGGTTAAGTGAAGGCGATAGGTGGATTGGTTGTTTGAAAAGCTGTGTGGCAGCCATGGGCACACTGACATTTCCATTTGCCATACTTGTGGTATGTTAAAAATGGTATGTTATTGATCTAAACATTTTAGGATCCCTACATTTTAGGGGTTCAGATCATTCCTGTCGTAGTGTCATTTTTGACCAATATGCATCGGTTATTCTAAATTGGAATTATTCATTTAGCTGACGCTTTTATCCAAAGCGACCTACAAATGCTATGTATACCAGAGGTCGCACACCTCTGGAGCAACTAGGGGTTAAGTGTCTTGCTCAGGGACACATTGGTGTCTCGCAGTGGATTCGAACCTGGGTTTCTCACACCAATATTGTAATAATAGAAAAAAAAAAAAAACACTATATGATTTCTTTAAAAGTTTCGTATTTCATCCAGTATATTACAATATGAGTAAGGATATTTGAAGACAATTCACTGCATAACAATAATGACTAAATTAGATAAAGTACTTCATATTTCAATGTGAAAAACCTTGCAAAAGGCCATTGCATTAATGCTGTGTGTGCTGAAGCTTGATGTCTATAAATCAGAACGGATCGGTAGTTTGTTCTTCCCACCATCTGATTATCATTACTTTCTCTGGAACATCTGTGGTAAAACTTCATTTTAGCTTTAAGTGCCCTTCTTCTTGTGCCCTGTGTTGTTGAACTCTTCTGGCATGGGTTGGGAAACTGTCAAAATCTATCACTAATCTTTTGCTCACGACTGCAGACAGTCGTTATGGATGTCTGCCGGACGTACGTCCAGTCAACCATCGGGGGACTCCGCTGTCTAGCCATAGTTGGGGACAGGCCAGCAGGCAGCAACCACGCCTGACAGGACAGGGCCTCCGCAGCTGGCTCATTTAGTGTAAGAGGAGATGGATTTAGGGGTGGAGGGAGAGAGACGGGGAAGGAGAGACCCTATCAGCTGTCTCATTTTAACATGCATATCGCTTTACGTGTCACGCAAGAGGTCTAATTAGTAATGAATTGTGATCTCATCGGTTAGATGTATGGACCGGGGTGGTTTCTCTGAAGTGGGGCAATGCTATTTAGAGTAGGTCACATAAGCTCAACCCCTAAGTAGAAATGGGAGAAATAATTTGGCGTCTCGTCTAACTTATCTCTCCATTGCTGACTGGTAATTGCCTTTCTGTGGCCTTGTCTCTGACTTCCAACCCCTCTATTTCAGGAGCAGAAATGAAGTCAGTCTTCACTGAAATTCCATGCCGTAATCGTCCCGTTCCTCGGAAGCCAAAGAATTCAGACGGCAAAGCAGGTCAGTGGGGTTTTGAGATGGAAAAAGTGAACCGTTTAGAAACTTCTGGAATTGTGTGCCCTTCAGAGCTTTTCCGACAGATCTTACCCTATAGAACTTGAATCTATAAATATAATACAAAATTATAAACGATGCAAAACAATATTTTGTATTATTTGCTTTACAACTGCTCTGGACCAATATTGTGAAAAACACTATAAAAATTAGTTTGAATTGAATTTAAAAAAGTTTATTTTCATGTTTTACATCTAAAATTATGGTAATCAAATTAAAAAAAATTGATTAGTTATAGTGCTCATATTATGCTATTTTAAAATGTGTTTTTTTTTTTCTGGAGGTCTCCTTTACATGCATCAAAAGTAAAAAAAAACCTTAATTTTCATAATATACGTTATTTTACACGCACACATACATGCATACATGCATACATACATACAAACAGCACATTATTCAATAATAATAATTCAAATGACTCGGGTGAATCTCTGTAAACCCATCCTTTCTGCTAGCCTACTCTGCTCTGATTGGTCAGATTGCCTAGTCTGTTGTGATTGGTTTACAACTTATAGCGCCTGACGGAAGCTAAAAGCGCATTACCATAACTGAACTTCAGCTCCGGATACTTCCTCAGTCCTTACACACTGTAAAGACAGTAGCGATGACGTCGATTTTATATCAGTCCAAGCGCGAGTCTGATGATGAAACATTATTCCACCTGAACCTCACTTTTGTAAGAAAACAACTTTATTTACTGTGCACTTTCGACTTTACTACTTTGCAGAACGTTTACATTCACAAACAGCTAAATCACACACTGCATGAAAAAGAATATATGAAAAACCATTATGGGGCACTTTAATACAGTCAATATTTTCCAGATAATATTTTAATTCTTTGCATTGGCTTCAGTATATCAATAATATAAAAGCCAATTATTTAATTTGGCAAACAAATGTCTTTATATCAGGCTTTTTTTCAAACAGTACAAATCGGTCTTTATGCATGACGGTATATGGCTGCCTTTACAGTATATATTTGGAAGGGGATCATCATATTTGGGGATCTTTGGACCCCTGTGACAGGTTTTTCAAAAACCCCATTAGCGAGCAGGCATGTTCTCACACACTGGAGTGTGTCACTCAGAATAAGTCATTACAAATGAACCATGAGACATGTTGCTTTACTCGCACTGTGTAACCCAAAGAAGGCGTGTAGTTGGTGGTGTGGCAGGGACTGGAGGGGGGTAAGTCAAGGCCTTATCTTTGAAGTTTGCCTTGTAAAACAGGCAGCTGGTGAGGGCAATCCCACTGCGGCTCTTCGGCCCGGGCTTGTAAATCCACCTCCGCCCCTCCTAACTGGAGCCCTGGGACTAACCTGTGGCCCGCTAACAATGGCTCACTGCTAATTTAGTGACTCTTTTAAATTCAAAGCATTCTCCTCTTTGTTAAATCTTCATTGTGGGAACACTTCATATATCTGCTCCAGGTGCCACCACCAGAACAAAATCTTACAACATCTGCTCATCATCTTGGATGTAATCACTTCACTAATTTAAAGGGTAACTAAACCCCTGGTCAGAGCCTGACTCCACCCATTGGCAACATTTGAAAAATGCTGGAAAAATGGGCAGAGCCCAGCAGAGATAGCGGGGACGAACCAGAGCCATATCAGTTTAAACCTCTTGCTCAAACTGTGGTATTAACTCCTGCATTGCTGTGTGGAAAAGCGCATTTCCACCTCCATTGCAATGGAGAAGAAATTCCGCGTAAAATGCAGGTTGCATACAGCGAAAGACTCACAGTCTTCCAGGCCAAGTGCATGCAACCAATGGCGCCTAATTTCCAAGTCTAGTGGAAAGTTATTCAGTCCAGCACCTACGTACCATCCTAACCACTGTACGAAATACAGATAAAGCTAATGCTAAAAATCTATGCTAATATACACTATCCTGATTGTTTTCAATACTCGTAATTCCAACTCCTGACTTGTTGCAGTAAGTTTTGACGGAACGAGATGCTTTTATACCAGGGGCTGCCAAGGGCGTGGTGAGCTCACACCAAGGGCGTGACAGAGTGAGGTCAGAGAGTACCCTACGTCACAGAGTACCCCTACTTCAGGAGCTTTCCGTTTAACCTGAAGAGGGCAGCACTCAGACGTTTTTACACCATATATTTGAAAATTAAAACACTTTATACCCAAATGTCGAATCAATGAACAGCATTTATGAAGATCCATTCTCACAGATCATTAACTAAAATAAGTTATTTGTGTTTAGTTACCCCTCAAAGCTTCACACTTTCTTATTTTAGTAAATCTTAAAAAAAGATTTGTTTGAAAATATACATTTTGCATTATTTCCTGTTACTTTTTTTTAATTACATGTTTTATCATTAAAAAGCAGTGAGTCAGAATTAAATTACCATATAACAATAATTTATATTATAAGACAATGAAATAGTTATTTCAATAAATGCCACACAAAGTTTTCCTAGATATAAACTCACCTAAACATATATAGAATAATTAAAACATGTAAATGTTATTAATTCACTTAATAATAAACTGATTAACATTATACATATTTTCATTATACAATTAAAATTATGCTGCTTGATATTACCAACTAGTATTTGCCATCATATTATTTTAATGCATTGTTGTTTACACATTCACTGCGGTTTGTGGTGCAAATAGTTTTACTGTTTATTTGGCTAATGAATCAAAAGTCTTACACAATAACAACAGAAAATAGATTACTTCCATGTTGCAAAATGAGGTGAATAATGTACAGTTTCCACAATATTTTTAAGTGGTTTTTAAAATTTAAACTTGCAACAATGAATAAAAATGTCAGACTTTTCAAACTTAAGTAGAGAAAAATCACACATTTTCAGGCACAAGTACTTTTCAAGGGGGTGGCTAGCTTGGCAGGAAATTTGCAATTTGCAGCTATTAGTTTTTATTAATGGTGATTACCCTGCGACATTGCCGATTCCCGTTTGACCAAGGCAGTATGTCAGAGTGCAGAAGGTCACATGTGTTTTCATTACAACATTCACCAGCATGGTCCATGAAATATGCTCATTACGTTTAAAATATGTTCATTACATCATGGAGCATAACAGTGATTCATAGAAATCTCTGAGGAATGCAGTACGTGAGTAACAGTGAGCGTTCAACCTTAATTGTCTTTATTCTATTGCAATTTAGGTGCATTAAATAATGTAGTTGAAATATGCAGTCATAATTGTGGGCAAAATTAAACGATCTTGCTTTTTACAATTTTGCTCAGCTCAGTAGCAGCCAGAAACACACAGACATCCTGAACATTTTTGAACGGAAATGGACCTTAAATGGAAACTGGAGGTTTTCCTTTTGCCGTTCATTCCATCATGGACCATTTCCAACGCCGTTTCATCTCCATCAACATTGCACGCCCCACTTTGCTGCTTGTGGTCATTTGTAATGTAAGCAGTAGCTAACTGGCTGCTTATTTCATCTTTTTCAGTGAGAGACCAATGAGCTAATTTTTTGGCTGTACGGGTCTGTTAATGTAGATTAGGGCCCAGAAATAAGTCATCCATTTTGGGTGTGGGTGAGTACATGCAGATGGAGTTTTAGAACAAACATTTGCTGGAAACTCTCAGGGCTCCATTATGTATGGCGTAAAAAACAAGAATTGAGTATAATGTACAATTGTGTCTGCTTTATCCTCAAGCATTGGCTTGGTTGTTTCTTTTCTTTATAGTGTTTGGCAAAATTGTTTGACTGTGTTGGCCAGATCAGAAATATGAAAACCCTTAATGCAGGCCATAAAGTGTTCAAATGATTTAAAAAACGGCCTCAGTAAATTTGGCGTTGAAGCTTATAGTAAATTGTCAATAAAATGTATGAACTTTCAAATTTACTTTTTGAAGCCTAACAGGAAGTATTTGCTGTTCGTTTATGTTGGTGATTTAGTATGTCATGCGGTCTATTCATAATTTAAACTGATTCCTGTGTGTGTGTTCGCACAGTTCGAAGGATCCTTTGGACATATGCTTGTCATTATCCATTGAGTAAAAGCTCTGAGTGAGTGTAAAAGAAATCCACAAGGCATATATCAGTCATATACTGGCGGAACATTTACCCTCACACATCCTTTTTCAAAACGTACATCCTCGATAGCATCCAAAAACAAATAATTGCGGTCACTTAGCCAGCTGAAATGAATTACTAAATTGTCCTCTTAATGCTGGCTCATTTCAGATGAATTTGTGTTGCTGAGTTATGCCTGAAACCAGCCCGAGACAGAGAGGGGACATCAGCACTTCATCAGCACCACAAGAACACTTTCTTTAAAAGAGTTTCATCAATGCTGGATATGTCATCACGGGGGATGTTAACCGATGGACTGAAGTTATGGACTTTATATGGGTAATTTGTAATGATAAAGCTGACAGTTGCAATTTTTGGGTGTTTGATGGGAGAAATCATAACACTCTGTATGGTGCATGTAGGTTGTAGTTACAAGATTTCATTTTTAATAGAGAGGCATCATCATGTGCGTGCCAATTCGGTGGAGCAGCCAGAAAAATACATATCTGTGGTGTAATTTGATGTAAAGAAGGACACTATTGATGCCAGATTTTATTCCTCATTTGAATTTGATTGTAATAAATGATGGTTGGTTTCATTGATTGATTTGTTCTTTCCTTATTCAAGTAAATGGGAGCTGTACTAACATTACTGGAAATAGCTGACCGGAGACACCCAAGATGGCTTTTCTAAAATGGGATTTTTTTGTGGATTTCTGTGGTGTCTTTTGACCGAGAGCATGGAAAAGGTAAAACTGGATACCTAGATACTGGATACCTAATTCCAACAATATTCTAAATTGCATATCATTTAGATTATCCTTGATTATTTTGGATGTTTTCATTTGATCACTTCCTCTACTGAGATGTAACTCACTTAAATAGATGTGCAGTTTTCCTTATGATGGTTTGGAATGGTGCCTTGTTGATTTAACCTTTGCCCTGAAACCATCTTCCAAGAGGCTCATAATAAGTTCAGCTGAAATGTCCTCACGGCAGCCTGCAGAGATTACAAATCACACAAATGTGTTTGTAATGGCTGTAAAATAGAAAATAAATGCAGGGAAAGTGCAGTTTACAGCTCAAATCCTCTATACGCTTGATGAAATACAATAAATTATGTCCAAAAAACCCTGGTTCGCTCTGCTCTGGAACTTGAAAAATATTTGTATTTTTTTTTTTCTAGAAGTGAGGTCCTTATTTGAGATTTAAGCACTGCCTGGCTACCTTTAAATGGAGAGGGATTTTTTGGACTGAATTGAGAATGTTTCAAGACTTTTATTTCTTTTGGGATGTTTTCTACAACACCCACTAAAGCGCTGATTAGTGCATTTCAATGCATCAAAGTGATTTCTGTTCTGGGTATGGTACATGGGGTAAGATGTTTCATAATAATGAATGAAATAATAATACAACCATACTGATGTACTGTATCAGTTGGACCAAAGGGACAAACTAGTTATCTGCTTTTGGAGAAACACTGGAATGTGAGAAGTCTGCATCATCATTTCATGATTTCTGGTTTGCAGTTTAAATTTTTACAGTTTCCTTTTGAAGTGGAACTTCGATGCTGCGTCTTGATATTGGGGTGACTGGTGTCTGAAGCACTTGTAAACAAACGGCAATACACTGTAAAAAAAAATAAAACGGCAGCTGTGGTTGCCAGAACTTTACCGTTAAAAATACAGTAGGAACGTTAATGGTTTTACAGACTTAACTTAAAATTTACAGTAATAAATCGTATTTTATTTTCTGATAAAATGTTGATTTACCAACTTATTGATATCTGTTTTAGACCATTGTAATACACTGACAACCATCAATCATCACAGCAGTGATGAGAGTTACTTGAGCAATTACAGCTCATTATAAGTGATTACTTGTATAAAGAAGCTGCACAGTGTCATTCACACAAACATTAAACACCATCATGGTAACACACATGAAATTAAAAAATGCAATAAACATTAATTTAACAACATTAAATGTAACATAAAACCCTAATATACATAACTGATTAGAAAAAACAACAAAACTATGAGGAACTATAGTTATTTCAACAAAAATACATCAAATGTGAAGTGTCACACAGGGAATTGTGGGAATGTCAATTTAGGCCGGATTCACTAGCGCCTAAAAACGCGTAGAAAACGCTGGGCGCGCTGCATTCTCCATTTTCGAAAGCGCCAGGGCGGTTGCGCTTCAGTTGGTTCTTGTCACATGACCTATTGTGTGCGTATGGTGCGCTTGCGGTATTCTGAAAAGTTGAGATGTTTTTATCTCGACGCGGCGCGGATTCGCATGGAAAAAAAGAGCGCGTCGCACATTTGAAATGACGAACTTGAGCATGCAAAAGACGCGATATGTGAACTGGCCCTTACGGGTTTTCACTGTAAAATATACAACGATTTGTTCTTTTTCACTTTCAAAAACTGTAAATTTAACGGTATTTTACTGTAAAATGATATCACAGTTATTTACCATATAAAGTACGGAAACTTTCTGTTAACCAATTAACAGTTTTGCGCTGTAGCATTTTTTACAGTCTTTTACTGTTAAAATCACAGATATTTTTTACAGTGTGATTATTGGCAGCAGGCAGTCCATGACATCACACACGTCACAGCCTGTGAATATAAAAGGGTGCCTGAGTTGCACGTCATCAGCTTTTTTTGCCTTCAGGACTTGTTTGTATGTGTGTATAAGATAAGAGTCTGTTGGAGCGTGTTTGACTCTCGAGGGAGCTGGATGTGCTCATGGCAGTAGGAGGCTCTGTTGTTGCTTGATTCTCTTAGTTTAGACTGAGGGATGAGAATTTTGTGTTTGTATGGAGTGCGATCATCTCTCGAGGGAGCTGAATGTATTAATTCTGATGCATTCGCTGTGGGAAGCCCCATCCATACTTGACTCTCTCTTGAGGTATGAGAGTCAAAAATCTGCACATCTTGATTCGGGTCAAGCGGCTGCCAAGGCAGCAGTGCAGGATCGATTGAAGGTGTTGCATTGGAAGGAGTCTGAAGGGAGATTTTTCCTTTTTGTACTTCTGGACTTTCATGTCAGTTCAGGAAACCGCTATGTGGCCACCTCCGACCTGACTGATTGCTGTGATGTGTCTAATTCTGAGGAATTAGATGCATAGAGAGTTGAAGCAGGTGTTATTAATAATCCTCCTACTCCGCTGTCCCGTATATATGTTTTTAAAGGTGCAGTGTGTAAATTTTAGCAGCATCTAGCGGTTCGGTTGCGAGTTGCACTAATGTCTTAGCCCACTGCTTACCCCTCCCTTTCGAAGAAGATACAGTTGCTAAAACGGGACAAACATATCGTCGAGACCTGGATTTCGTTTGTTTAATTTATGTTTTACTTAATCAAACACTTCTTCACCTCTGCACTTGAGTCCTCACACTATTCTCCACAACCGCCCCTTGACAATATATGTAAAAAAAAAAGCACCACAAATCATCAAACATCAGTTTTTATAGATAATTCTGGATATGAGGTTTGAACGGACAGATTTTCAACGTATTTGGAGGATGTAAAAATACTCTATTTTAATAATTTTGTGTGGCATTGGTTGCGAAAGATGCCATTACAAAGCCAACTCACATAAATGGAATGAAATGGATCATATCAGACAAGTTAATCAGCAAAAAAGGAGCATATCAGGTTCAGAGAGGGAGAAGAAAGGTTAAACAAACTCCACAAACCCAACACATTATAATACACCACATTACGTTTCAGACACAAACCATGTGGAACTCAAAAATGATGGATCTGCCACGAAAAGAAGAATGTTCCTCAGGCTTGCGCACGCTTTTCTGTCTACTTGTGTTTTTCTTGGCAAAGCTCAGCATGGCCATCTTGTTTTTCACAAGGAGCCTCTGTCCACGCATATATGGTTGAACTTTATGAGCACAGTAGACAAAAGTGCACTGTAAAAAATTTCTTGTCAAATTAACAGTAACTTACTGGCAACAATTATCCAGTACTTGCTGTATTTCATTTAACAGTAAAATTACCGTAACACTAACTACAGTACTGTTAAGCATACTGCAAATTTAATAACATTATTTTACTGTAATTTCTTACCATATTAAAGTACAGAATTACACTGTTAATTTTTAATAATACTGTATAGTATGAAATGTTATTGTATTTATTTTATAGTGCTACTGTGTAACCTGTAGAAAATCCGTAGAAATATTATTTTAACTGTTAATGGGAAATAGAAAAAAGAACAATTGAAGCTTTAACTGCACAAGGTTTATTGTGTATTTTCAAACACATTAGTACATTTACATAATATACATTTAAATACATTAATACAATTAAATACATTAATAATAAAAATGTAATATAATACAATAAAAATCATGCATGACAATCATGAACAATTATGCAACAGGTAAAATAGAAAAGATTAAAGGGGTGCTATCTGATCAATCTATTAGAAAGATAGTTCATAACAACTCATCCACCCACTCCCTGCTGGGGTAAAACAGCTTAAACTAGTCTAAGATTGTCTATTGGTTTGAGATAGACTGTCTAACTGGTCAGTTGCTGATTTTAAAGGGTTTTTGGCTGCTTTCTATCTAAGGGACCAGATTTGCAGGGCTGGGAGACACATATAAACTTATAAACTATAAAAGCTTTGACGAGTAAACCACCAATCCAGATGAGTATAACAAAATGACAAGTTATCCAGTGTCCTTTAAAAAAAAAAAACTAAACACAAAACAACCTCATCATGCACATGTGCCGTGAAAAACTTGCATTACGGTATTAATAATCATTTATATGCAGACTTATGTTCTAACTTTTGCAATAGGAAGTTTTCTATCCAAGCTTTTATGCAATTAAACCTTAAACTGTACAACAACATTTATTTTCACACAACAATTCTTAACAACTTGCAGATAGACAAAATTCACAGATGGATAATAATCCGTTTAAAATGTTCTCAGTGGGTCAGTACTGGACCAAGGTATAGTAGTAGTAGTTAGATAAATAGAATAATTAAATTAGATTAGATTTACAATTCATCGGTCATCAAGATGGATAGGGGTCTTCTTAACATGCACAGCTCACACCTGTGGAAAAGGAGAACAGACAAGACAGTTAAAATACAGTACGTTTTGTTATTGTTGTTTTGGCTAAACAGCAAAAACAGACAAAATGATGTCTAAAGTGTAATTCACTTAATACTAAAATCTTGTTTGTTGGACTGTTGTTTAAAATCAATTGTTAAAGTATGTTCATTATGTCCTCGGTTGTATGCTGTGTAATATAATACAATGCTATACTGTTCAGTGTTGTGCATATGTTTATGCCACAAGAGGGCACTAAAGTATAGGCTATGGAGGATGCGTTTGTATTATTATTATGTTTGTCCAAGTTGATTTACCGTAGTTAAGAGGATCATATTACTGAGAGAATCTTCATTACTCTCTGTGCTGTTAGTTCGACCGTGAGACTGATGTGTCAACAGCTGAAATAAATATGCCAAGAACGGCTAAAGATAACTCATCTCTATCGTCCACTCTTTTCTTTTGAATGCAACGCAAGCTGAAACATAACTCAACATCACGTGAAAACGTAGGTTAAATCTTGCTTGTGTGATACATGACTTAAAAAAAGATTGACAAGGCATCGTTCCCTTCAAATGAGTAGGCTACATGTCAGTTTACACATAGTTAAAAAAAAAAAAAAAAAAAAAAAAAAAACAATGATATTATAGTCACACGTAGCTTTGTATTTTGGACAAAAATACACTGGGCGCTTTCCGTGGTCCATCAGTTATCACTGAGGTAGCAGTAACGTTAACGTTAAATGGCGGAACGCCAGGTCAGGATTTACACGAAAATAAGCGTGAAAAAATCAATAAGAGGAATCGGCACTATAATTTAATAACAATAAATCCGAATCCTAACCTTGGATGTCCGATTTCAGGATACATTTATCGATTAGCAATTCCTAACCCCTGTAAGTCATAAAATAATGAACGTGCAGGCGCTTCCACCGACTTAACGTGGTAAATAACAAAATGATTAGACCATTTTGACCGTATAAGAGGTTACATATGAAATATATGTCAATAAAATCACATTAAATCAAGTAAGGCTATCAACATAAAAGAAATCCGCGTCTGACTTATACAGACGTAGAACATTCCGCGGCCACTTCTTTCTAACGTTAACGTAAGTAACTCATATGGTTTGCATAAAAATATGAATTACTAACCAGATGTATGGCGAAAACGTTGCCGACCGACAGCGACGCGATGCACGGCCTGCGTGTTCTTACAGAGGGAAGGGAACTGAAGAGTTCTTCATAAAATGGCAGCTTGTTGTGGTTATTTTTCGCGGTCATTTCGTACTAATGTATTTGAATTTACAGTAATATCCCAAATGGCTACATTGAAGAGTAGCCTATCATATACATATTATATTAAAATGTCTAGAATATATTAAATTGAATATAGAAATCGTGGTCAGCTAGGGGTGGGCGATATGGAAAAAATATCATATCACGATTTTTTTAGGAAAATCACGATCACGATTTTTTATCACGATTCTTTTTCAAGTTGGTTTTAATATTTTGCAAGTGGCTGTTCATTACAGCCAAACTAATGTCCTTATGTTAAAAACAAAGCCTTAGGTAAAAGAATCTTTGTCATTATTTTCTTTGTTATTAAAAAAATAAGACAAGATAAACATTACACAAATTAATATTCAAATTAAATAAATAGTGCTTTATTTTTCAGATGCACAAGGTGTATTTAGCAGTAGTATTGAAGAAAGTAATTAAATTAAACAAATATGAAATTAAAACACTACAGAGACTTCACTGAATAAATTGATTCTTATTAAAGCTACTATTAAAGTTCTCGGTCAGTGAGTGATTTTCTCCTTGTGTTTTTTTTTTCTTTTACTAAAGAGATTCCCTCAAAAATGAAAATGGTCTTAATTTACTCTCTCAAGATGTTTTAAACCCGAATAAGTTTCTTTCTTCTGTTGAAAATAAAAGTTATTTTATATAGTGTGGGTAACCGAACAGTTGCTGGTCTCCTTATAGTTTTTTTTATAGGTTCTCTCCTGGAAGTTAATGGGGACCAGCAACTGTTTGGTTACCCACATTAAAAAAAATTGTCTTTTGTGTTCAGCACAAGAAAGAAATGAATACAGGTTTGGAACAACATTAGAGTGAGTAAATAATGACGGATTTTTTTTTTTTTTTTTTTTTTTTTTTTTTTTTTTTGGTGAACTATCCCTTTAAGGACATGCGGCAGTATTATTCCTGTCGCTTTTAGACCAGCACGCGACGCGTTTAATATAGACGCATATTACACCAGATATTCTCTCAAATGTTTGCTTTCACTTTAGACATAGCCTGTTTATGTAAACATTGTGTGTATTTAACAGTATTAGCATAATAAGACTCGAAAGATAACTTAGTCCAGTATTCAGGCGCTGTTTGACAGACTTCTAGTGCCTGTGAGCGCCGTGGATATGCGGTCAGGAAAGCGCACGTTAGAACAGCGCATCAGCGCGTGAATTAAATGTTTAACCGGCAAGGCTTATGCAAATAATGAACTTTTGTGAATTGCAGTGTCCCGTACCTATTCATTAACATGTGATAGGCTACGTCGCGTTGTACAGTTGAGACTGAGGCGCCAGAACTGAACTGATAGAATGCACTGTAACACGATACTACGATATTTCTTCAAAAGCAGATCGTGGAGACATTTTAATCGTCCACGATTAAAAATCGTCATATCGCACACCCCTATGGTCAGCTATTCTAAATAACTTTAAAGTTATTAGCTAGAATCCGTTTGCATACACATTATAAGAATTATATTACTTACCAGATGAAGAAGTTGCAGGTCGGCAGAAAAGACAGCAGCACCACTGACACGACAGAGAAACTCTTCCAAAGTCAAATATGCTCCCATGCACACCCCACTGACATAAATTATGTCATAAATTATGACTGTTAATGGTCAACCAGTGCTACATTTTTATTTTAAATGTAAGAATAACATTAGTAGGCTAGCAATTTTACCCGTGGAACTGTGTGTGGTGTTTTTCGCGGTCAATTGCACTGCTGTATTTAGATTAACAGTAACTGATAATTTCCCAGAATGCATTGCAATTCTACAGTAACATACTGTCAACTGTGTGCACAGTACATAACTGTTGAAAAAACAATTTAATACTGTGAAAACAACTAAATCTACTGTAACTTACTGTACATAGATTATACAGTAAGAAACTGTTGAGAAAAACAGTATAATCCTGTGAAAACAACAGAAATCATTTACAGTGTGGCTGAAGCACATTTCACTGGTTGGAAGACCCTCTTTGCTCTGTCAGTTCTAGCTTTGGCACGGTGGATGAAACAAAGCAAATCCGCAGTCACAAGAACCGGAGCCTTGAAAGGCTCTGAGGCCACTTAGCTCATGACTTCAGAGTGAACTTGACGGCTGGAAACCTTCCAAACTTAGTCTCTCTGCTCACCTGCCTATTGTGGTCAATGCGGGGACTTTTTAATGGCTCAAGTCAAGGGTTTTAGTCATCATGCACAGACAAACCAGCAGTGTTAATCTTATCAGTGACAAAGTTTTTTACAATGGGTTTTTTGATTTTAAAATGCTAAAATGCTAACTTGTTTCTGACATTAATATATATATGCAGCACTCTGTAGTGCACTCTTTATAATTTTATTTCAGTATCTTCAATATGTGATTTAAATTTACATTCATGAACTAAAACATTATTTAAATTGACCAAAATTAAAGAAATGACAAATTTAAATGTAAATTTAAAAGATATTTTGGTCAGAAGACAAAAAGTATGACTAAAACAAATACACTTGCTCCATTGGCAAGGCTGGAACCTTTAAAGAGGATGCAGCACATGGGGAGAGATATCTCGCAAGCAGATCTTCAACTGAGGCATTCCTACATATCGCTTTTGAATGCATGGGATGGACTGTACGAGCCGAATGCAAATGTCTCCATTATTTTAAAACCTCAATGAGGAGATATAGAAGGAATAAAAAGGGCAATGTGTAATATTACTGAGGACCTATTGACAGAAATGCAACATAAGACCCATATCAGTGGTGTATAAAGACTTTACTCAATGAATCATTGTGGTTTTATTACCTTAGAATGAGAAATGTATTGACCATTTCACAAGATGTAAACAAAACTGGTCCAGAAGCACTTCCTGTTTCAGTTTGTAACGGTTTTCTTTATTTCACATGTAAAGAAAACATCTTAAAGATGTTTGTTTAACTTTTTGATTCAGTTTTAAATGTTCTGTTGGTTGTATTTTATCCCAGCTTTTATGTAGTGTTAAAAAACTGAAACAGGAAGTGCTTATAACCGCGGGCACCCCCTTCTATGAATATATTGACATACTGTGACGTCATGTTTCTACCGTAGCCAACAGCAAACAAACAACGCTATAGTGTGCTTCGTTCATACCTTGAAAGAGAAGCCACAGAAAGCTAGAAGCCAGCCATAGACACCGTGAGTAGTGACTTTTCCCTTGTGAGTGGTGTAAAATATGTTGTTGGATTGTTTCATGTAACTTAGTTATTCTCCTTTGCTGTGTCATGGCTTTGACAATCAGCTGATTAGTACTATTGACCATAAACCAGTAACGTTATATGAATCCGAGGTCCGAGTCGATTCGTTGGCTATAATAGAACGCACCATAAATAGGAAGGCAAATAAAGGAGGGTAATGAGGAGGACAGGTGGGACAAATTTCCCAATAATCAGATACCAAGATGGGAGGGGCTAAACAATAAACAGAAGAGCACATGGCACAAAGGAAACACATGACAAGCCATGTGCTCACAATAAACAACACTAGAACACAAGCACATGACAAACCAGACATTGTGACATATATGCAGAAAATTTAAAGATTTGCAGAATGTTCTGTTCGAGCCCACATACACGTGGTGCTGAGACATTTTATTTTTCACTCAAGTGTGGTGTAGAAGATGGTAACATCTGACTTGGCTTTACATAATAGAAAAGCCCTGTGTAACACCTTCTGCTTTAGCAAGTTTATTCAGTGTTACGTGATTTAGAAGTGAGATTTAACAGTGATGGGATGCAAAGATCCTTATTTTTTTTATTTTTTTTATAAAGTGTGCTAAAGAAGTCGAGTATCACAAGGCTTACATTTTTCCTAATTTGCTTTTATTATTGAAACCTTTCTAGATGAGAAATGGCATGTTTCTGTTTCCTGTCTTTCAGATGACTGATTTTTTCGGATATATTCAGTCGAGTCTTTACCTACTGCCACTGTGCAAGGATTATGGGCCTCTTTTAAGGTTTGTTCTATTATTAAATCAATCATTTTGGACTTGATATGATTTTTAGCTGATGGATATCCCCCACTATATCTTTGAAAGGAAGGTCCAAAGATTTTTATATAAATAAAATAATTCCCCTATGTATTAGAGTAATGGTGGACAAGGCACCTGTGATTTCTCACATGTATTTCACTTGGAGAAATCTAAGGAGAGATTTGTTACAGTCAAAGTGTAAAAGCACTACTGTAAGAGCAGGTGCGGTAATGTTTCCTGTGTAATTCATTTTCTTACAAGGATACCCAGGCAAGCCACTTTAGCTGTCAAATACCGATCATGGCAGCCGTAGTAAGCAGCTCTTCCTGCTTCCCTTCCTTGATTACCCTTCATAACCATACCTTGATTTATCCCTCCCTCATTCTAAAACGTCAGCTGTGTATTGACCTTCAGCACAACAGGAAACCCCCAGAGTGCCATAAACCAGAAAGCCAGAGTCCTCAGCTGGAAAGCACATAAAGGGATTGTTAACCCAAAATGAAATGAAAAATTCGATCATTATTTATACGCACCATCATGTTTTACCAAACATGTATGGCTTTCTTTCTTCTGTGGAAATAAAAAGAGAAGTTTAGCAGAATGTCTGTGCTGCTCTCTTCCATATGACCCCTTCTGAGAGTAGTCAAACCAAAAGATTTTGATATACAAAGACGGTGCACTCATATTACTTATGAATGGGAGAAAGTTTAACCCACAATATGGTGGAATATTCCCAGCTTCGAAATAAAAGAGCCAAATGCTAAAATGATTGTGCCACTATAGCTGCAAGAGGCGTTTCAAAGATGGCCGCCAAGTGAAATGACTTGTCTTAAAGGGACTTAGGTCAAACTCAACAAAGGAAAAAAAAAAAAAAAAAACACACACCATAAAATCTTCATAACAGTAGTCCATGTGATTCACAAAACCATATAATAGATTTGTCTGGTGGTCAGACTGAAATTGACAGAAAATCTTGCTTGACCGCCATGATCACTATTCACTTAGTTTAGTGTCCAATTAGTTGCATATTAGCATGCATATAACTAGGATATTGGCTGTAAAGCACTTTATTAATGTCTTATGCTGCATGACGATATTATACAACCCAATCCCTAAACTTAACAGCTACCTTACTCAATATTAATAAACTGTAGGAGTTTATTGATGGAAAAGTCATAGTTACTAATTAGTTAAAGGTGTGGTTTACTGCTTTTTTTCATTGCATGATTGGGTTTATGGGGTGCAATATAACGTCTATATGTTTTTTTTCATAGATTTCACCTTTATTTTAAGCCACTTTCTTCTCATTTGAATGACCGGTTGACTTCCTTATTCTATGAAACCACTTCCTCAGAAACAGGCAATGGGCTCAGATTGGTTAGTTTGGGCCGGTGTTTGGTGCAGCAAATTTGCAAATACTGTTCATGCACCAACAGCAACATATTTAAAATGAAAAAAGTGAAATCGCAATCAACCACCCCTTAAATATAGTGAGAATTGAACCCTAGACTAAACTTAAGTGTGACCATACATCTTTTGTGTTCTACAGAAGAAATGCATTTAGTTTTAAAAGACAAGACATGACAATGTCATGTAAATAATCACAGAATTTTCAATTTAAACCATATCTCAGACATAGAATTATCCATCGTGATATCCCCTCATGTTGTATTCGTAGTTTGCACGTGTTCATGTTTGTTATTGTAGTTTGCATGGACACTGGACTGATGCCCTTCACCGCAGTAAATCTCTAAACTTAAGAGCTAAGCAGGCTGTTTAACACTCTCTTGGGATGCACAGAATCACCGTGAAATTAATATCTGGTCGTCTTAGTATAAAACACATGCTTGACAAGTGGATTACTACCAACAGATGGCAATGGACCAGTCTTGATTCCAAACATCAAGAATTTACCAAGCAGAATCTGATCCCTATAGTTGAAATAAAAATTGAGTAATTATGAAATCTGACTAGATGAACTTAGCTAAAGCTTGTTTAATTATGTGGTTTAGTGGAGCCAATTTCGAAAAAAATAAATAATTTGTGCTCCTTCTTTCCTGTTTGCTTCTAGATGTAGTGGAAAAGAATACAGGGACTTTTGGGACACTTTTCAAAATGATCTGTTTTTAACTTGACGCAGCCTCTTAAGACTGAAAAAAAAAATACAGTGGCCAAAATCATTCATCTAGTCAATATTTACATAGTTAATGCGACATCATTTATGCCTAAACTGAAAATGTATCTATTTGAATTGCATATGCAATTTCCATTAATTTGGACACAGATTTAACATTTCAATGCAAAGGCACATTGACTTCCATTGTTTACTATGAAAGTCAATGGGGCCCATCAACTGTACCCATATTCTTTAAAATATCTTCTTTTGTGTTCAGCAGAAGAAAGACATTCATAAAGGTTTGGAACAACTTGAGGAGAAGTAAATGATGAAAGATTTTCATTTTTAGGGTGAACTATCCCTTTAAGTGAAATATTCATATCTTTAAAAGATCGACAAACTGTAGTATAACACTTAAATGGATTGAAATGTTATATGTTCTTCACAGAAACAAGGATATCATAAGAGTTTAACATGAAGCTCATTGGCTAGTAAGATTTGGGGCCTTGGTGTTACTCCCAGTTCTTATATGGAGTCTGAACATGTCCTTAGTGGATCTTTGACGGTTCAGGTTTTCTTTCCTAAACGTTTCTTTCCAAACACGTATAAAGCATAAATTCATACTTCTGCTTTGTAATAAAGTGTCTGGTAGTGCCAAAATTTATACAAAGGACAAAATGTTTCTTTCTATCTCAGATTTCTCTGACTGTCCAGTCTCAGCACGCTGATTTAATTCATTGAGCTCTAAGAATATGTGCATGGTGTTAAAGAGAAATATTGATATGCAGTGTGTTAAAATTCCTTTCATGCTTTTTGACTTTCATTCTCATAAAAAAAAAAAACTATAGGGCTTGTAAAGCATCATGTGTGCCATGAACCTTTCTCATAGTTGCACAACAAAAGATGAACAACTTTTTACAGTTGCTGCTTTTCACTGTATTTTGAGGACCTCCCATAAGTACGTTTAAACAGGGTTTGTCTCCTTAATATGTTCCAGTTTATGAACGACATGAATAGTTTGACGTATACACTTCAATTACTTTAAGTGCTAAGTGCCTATTCCCCTTTTAAAAACTACTTGAATTTTTCCTTTAAATGAAAGCTTTAGCGTAAGTTCTGCCGGGACAACTCAATTGTTATGCCTGCCTCATGGACCTTCTCATCTATCCAGTCGTGTTCTAATACTTGTAGTATAAAAGATCGAAACTTGCACGTCTGAGTTCTCAGATACTGACGCTTTCATTCACCTCCATCCTCCCCACCACCACCAAGATGGTCCTTCTGGTGTCTTTCTGGTGGAACTGAAAATAATTCAATTTAGAAAATGAGTTTCAAATGGTTACTATTTACTGGACTAGACCACAGTGGACTAGACAGTAGTGGACCATTCATTTTATTGGTCTTTTCTTTGCGTTTCGAAATGCAAGCACTTTGAATACCGTTTCACAAGATGTAAACAACACTGGTCCAGAAACACTTCCTGTTTCAGTTTGTAACTGTTTTCTTTATTTCACATGTAAAGAAAACATCTTAAAGATGTTTGTTTAACTTTTTGATTCAGTTTTAAATGTTGTTTGATTCTGTTGGTTGTATTTTATCCCAGCTTTTATGTAGTGTTAAAAAACCGAAACAGGAAGTGCTTCTGGACCAGTGTTGTTTACATCTTGTGAAATGGTCTATAAAAAGTACAAGTAAACTAACACTATATTCAGATGGGCAATAGAAATTTTCTCATTTCAAATGGGAAAGCTTGAACAACATGATTATTGTTTTACCTTAAAACTCTTGCTTAAGAGAATTAAAAACTAATCCTGATTTCTTTCTAAACAGAACCTTGCTTTTAATTGAGGTGAAATACTGTACAATATTTATGTTAAATGTTAAGGTATTATAGGAGCAAATATTGAATATTTAACTCAAATGGACCATCACACTTGTTTATTTCCCTTGGATGGGATAGGAGTATATAGAGCTCTAGTTTAAAGGATTTATTCTTTGGTTATTTTCTTACAACCATGCCTTTGTAATTCACATCCTCTAGGTCAACGCATTTCAAACTCCTAAAGAGCCCACCACAGATTCTTGATTAATCCCATTTACGTTCAAAACGAAACTATAAAATATTTCTGAGATTGCCACAGTACCGAGTTGTTATTTGCAGTGGGTCAACAGGTACGAGTTGCTCCTAGCCTTCCTTAAAGATTAAACCTGCAATTAAAGGATTCACTATTCAAACGAGCTCATGTATCATCTGACTCATTTCTGAGAATGGCCCAAAGCACACACACATGAGCTCAGCGCTGGTATGTGAAGACCAGCCTGAGGTGGCCAATCACTCAAAGCCCAGAATAAAACTTTATTCACAGAGATTTACCGATTTACAAGCCGGTGTCGGTGTCCAGGACGAAAGACAGGAGAGGGGTGAACTCATATTTTTGCAAGTGTTGAGTGTCCTCAGGAGAAGTAAAATTGTAGTTCACAGCTGTTCAAACACAAAGCTATTTCAGCGTGCTTAATAAGAAAAAGCCACGAGGGCTGTAAAATATCATGTATTAAAAAGCTGTGTATGTGGAGAGTGGCAAAGATCCTAACACTACACTATGTCCATTAATTCTGATAAGCTTGGACTTTCCTCTGCTGCCAGCAATCGGGAATCAATAATATTTAAGAAATTTTATTTTAAAATCCTATTAACATCATAGCTTATTTTTTAGCATTTAAAAACATTTTTTTCTTAAAGGTATAGCGGAGGATTTTCTTTTTCCGGGTGGGTAGTCTATACTATTGGTCCACCTAAGTGTCAATCATTCTGGTGATATGTTTACGTAAGGCCGTCGTAGGCTACGTGCTCATCCCTATGTAGTTTTCACTTTCAGGTGTATTATGTCGGAGTTACGGTTTCAGCCATTCCTTTGAAAATGGCTGAGGGTCGAAAGAGAAAAAATGTTTACTAAGTGTATGATAAGAAGAGAAAGGCTGCAGAATATAGAATCAAGACCAGAGAGATTTTGGGTGAATATCACACGCTAGCGTGCGCTAAAAGCACAGGTTGGGCTTCTCACTGATGCCGCAGTCGCGAAGATTCTACTACACAGGTAAAGTTTGTCACGCTATTTGGAGAAATCCATTTAAAATCACTAGTAAAAGTTAATGCAAGCTACAATGCTAGCCCTGGCACGAGTCATGCACCGCATAGACACGGTAAACATCTCAATTTGTCTAAAGTAGCCTTTTGTCCAAAATGGTAAATGGTATCACGCTAAAATATTCTAAAATCTTGTGTGTTTATTATTACACAAATGCAACAAGCTACTTCTCCATATGCAACTATGTATAAAAATAACGTATTAACAATGAGAGATATTAGGTTAAGGACCAACGTAATAGCACTGCTTATATGTTGCTATGTAACGTAATTGCGATTTGCAAAATAGTTTCCTCAGAACGTATTTCGTGTGATACAGGGTTGCACATATCATGTCTTGAGTCCTCGGTCACTCAATCGATCAGTATAATAAGTAAATAAAACACGGAAGGGCATTTGACATGTTGTCTTTTTTATTAATGTTTTTTAGTTAGTTTAGAATTTGCAACATAATTGTGCAAGGCGTATAGACATTCCCTCTCGGGAGCAAGAGTGTTGTGTTTGTGCATGTGCATTTTTTTTTTTTTAAATTGGAGAGGGCGGGTCTTCTCTAAAATTCGGAAAGATCCTCCGCTATACCTTTAATTATTTAGACTTAAGCATCACTTGCTCATCTTCTGGACAAATCTTTGTAACTTGTCCCATATTGTCTGCTACAGACTTTTACTGTGCTTGTTATTGAAGAAAGGTTAGTTTTTACTTTTTTTTAAGTAATCAGCATGATTTTTGCCTGACAGACAGAAAAACAGGCAAAAATTCTGTAGGCTTAAAATGAAAAGTCTTTTTAGTGGTCCCCTTGGGCCACTATGGCCACATTTTAACTGCAGGTCTTGATGTCCAATTCCGATTTGTTGAATTTTGGTAACACTTTATTTTATATTGTCCTTTTTACAAATGTTACATGTACTTACAATAACATTAAATTATGCATTATTACATGCAATTAACTCTCAACCAAAAACTAATTCTACCCTAACCATGTAGTAAGTACATGCTCAATCCTATATATATATATAATCACACTGTAACAATGACTCCTTAAAATAAAGTGTAACCCGATTTTTTTGACGACCATAATTTGACCTCCATTGCGCCATTGGAAAACGTTGTGTGATCGCGCCTGGTATCCCCCTGAATTGATGTCATTCACCACCATTAGTGTTTCAATGACGTACAACTCCCATTGATGGGAATATCCGATCTGTCTGCTTACATGCGATGCATGCACTTTTCCGATTCAAATCAGATTTATTTCCACACATGAATGAGACCTGAATGCGATCTGAGAATATCGGAATCCATTCGATTTATTTCCTGCTTAGTTACACATTAGTGGGTCATATCTGATCTGTGCCACATGGGAGGAAAAAATCTGAATTGGTTGACTTGAAACATATAATGTAGATGTACCCTTTTAGATTTAAATGTAATATATTATTTTGATAGCAAAGCTGAATTTTCAGAAATCATTCTAATATGCTGATTTTCTGCCAGGAAACATTTCTTATTCTTTTGAATACTATGGATACAACTGTGCAACTTAGTCTAAAACTTACTGGCCTCAACTTCAGTGAGGTCTCGAAGATTTGTCCCTGCTATAATGTTAAAATATTTCTAAGATTGCCACAGTGAGGGATAAGAAAGGGATCCAATGGGGAAATAAAAGAATTCCGACACTCATCCCATTGGTCAATAATATGACTTCATAATCATGACTTCACGGTTTCCTCCTGAGCCATTTCTCACTGGTATATTTTACACGCAGCTATATTCACATATTTTAAATCAATGACAATGACGACACAATTGGATCTTGCAGAGCGTGTTGTTTGGGGCAGCTTTGGTGTGATAAATATGGCCCGTGGAACATAAGGGTTTAGCCCGCCCCGCCAGAATATTTTAGTTTGTGGATTGTATTAATGTCAAGAACACCTGAGCCAAATTTTAAAAGTCGAGAAAGGCAAGATCATAAACTGCAAGAAAAAAATTCTAGTTTCGGTTGGTGGGTTGAAAGTACAGTTTAAATGTGTAGCAGACAAACATACGTGCATAAAGCAAAATTGTTTCTCACATTTATGCCTGATTTGCATGATGTCTCATTTGATCCAAGACACATTTGTTGCCAGACTCTTGACAGGTATATGCTGTATCGGTTTTCACACTGGCTTCAGCCACAGAGCCCTCATCATATGGATCACTTTACCAGCCAACAGCCCTGGATTCATGCCACACACAAGAGAGACGCTCCAGACCTTGCAGACAGTTCAATGTCATTAATAAGATCATTCCCTCCTTTTCCAACCTCTCCCGTCAGTTAGAGTGATAACATGACATCATCACAGGTAATCTCCCGTTGTAAATATGTGTCTTAAAACCAGTTATATTGGACTCTAGATTTCAGACCTCTGGGCTTAGGCTATTCTTTGTTAGCAATAACTGTCAAATCTGTCTAGTATAAACCGGCATTAAAATACTGTTTTTAAACCAACTGTCGACAAGTTCATCAGCTGAAACGACAAGACCTGCATTCAGAGTCCTTAGGGGTTCATGTCACTCTTAATAAATCTAAATTTCTCCTACACCTTTTCATTGGGCAAAAATGCTAATGTTATGTGTTAATATGGAAATTATTTAGGCGTATATATGTAAATACAGATCCCTGGTTGGGCCTGTTAAGAAACAGGCTCTAGGCTACTTTTATTATGCCACAAACTCACATTTTTTATTAATCATAAGATTTTTTATTCCAGAACCTAACTGTTGCAGGCAGACTCCAATGTTGAATGATAAAATAACCTTATAAAATTAAAATTCATGGTTAAATCTATAGTGCATAAATCTAGTGGACCCTTTCCTACTTTGTTTGGTCCGGATTTTCTGACTTTTCAGTTTGATGTGAATCAAAATGACAGGTGTGAAACCTCGCCTGGACCACGGTCCGGACCAAACAGACGAAATTTGGTCAGACGGAAAGACGTTGTCTTGGTCCAGATCAAACTGAACAAATGTTTGGTTCATTTCTAGTGTGAAAGCATTTTCTGTATAGTTCGGACTTTCAGAACATTTACAGAAAGTTCCGGTGGTTCTCGCAGGATTGCTTGCAGGCTTCTCCTCCTTTCCTGCTGGTGACGATAAAATGTACGCACAACGAGGACGTTTATTTGGCTAATTTGAACTAATGGTGCTGCAGGCTACCACCTCTAGTAGTAGTTTTGCAGCTCGCCGATCGATTACATCCAGCCGCAACCGATGTCGAACACACCAAATTTCTTTAGTGCGCTCGCTTAATTGCAATGTGAAACCAAACCAAAACTTACCGAATGTATAAAATGTATAAAAACATGAACTTCGGACCTTGGTGTAATAAGGCCCTAAGTGGCGTGTTCCCTAAGATTTGGGAACCAACTTGTGTTTTTCTCTTTGATTGCTGTTGTAAGCCTGTTTGAGTAATATATCTTTTTTTTAAAGTCCTATATATGATTAGGCTACTACACGCCTGGGATTCCTGCAACTATTTTTATTTCTGTTTTTAAAATGTTTTAAAGTATATTTAAAACTGACCTTGTATCAACATTCAACCAGGCTTGATTATTGGGTGATATACAGGTAACGAGAGTGAGAAGATGAAGAAATGCTTGAACACACAATCCTGAACTGTTCTCGAACACCACGTCTGAGAACTGTGCTCAGATCAGATTACACTCCTGTCTGTACTGATTCCACCCTGAGCTAACAGCAAAACTGACCCTGACATATAGTGCTGCCGTTTGGAATTTGCGTTCCCCTCCACATGTGGTCCTGATTTCTCTGTGTTTAGGCCCAAAGTAAAGGGTATGGTTTAGAGCTTTGGCGTGTGCATAACCTTTATATTACTTCGATTCACCTCTCGTTTCACTGAATATGAAAATATTCATATAGACTATGTATATATAATATAGAAAATAGTCATTTTAAAAAGTAATGACAGAGCTGTTAGTAGCTCTGAAATTTGTCATGCCATTTAAGGGACCGAGTGCATTAAGATACTACTTTATGCATTGTGAGGGACTTTTGTTATCCTCAGTTATTTACGTAATTCAAACTTAGACATTCTTGTGATATAAAGTCAGACCCAAATGTGAATCTGATTGCTTGATTCATTGAGTGTTTAAATGTTATGTGAATTCTTGATTTATATTAAAGGTGGTTTTGCATATTTGGATGGCGGCAAAGCCTATCGTTTCCACATGAAAGCCGAAAAAGAATCCTTTCCATTATAACTGCTGTTTAAACAAAACTATATTAAAACATATTCAAAGCGGTTCTAAAATGTCACATTTTTCATGACTGAAAATATTTCATCTGCTTATTTGGCTGCACAGTGCACACATGTGTCTGTCACACATTAGCTGCCTCTCGGTAAAAGCAGCAGGTTTTTGTGAGCGATTCATCCCAAGCTCTGTTTATGAGACTGACTCCGTAATTCTCTCTCAGACCTAGAGTCCCTACTGGGGTAAAATGGATTGGCTTCCAATTTTCTCTATGCATTAACAGAGGAGAAAATGTCTCGGTAGTTTTGCATTCCTAATTAAAAATGCCACCCAGTCTAGTGGACTTTGGATGTTGTCTAATAAGACTGAAAATCCCTGTTGTGTCTCATCAATTGCAGTAAAACTTTCATTAAACTCTCTGACAAGGCCAAGGATATAAAGAGCAAAAAATATGATACATGCTGTGCGAATAAAAGCTGTGTAATTACAGCAGTGCCTGAACAGCAGGACACACAAATCAACTTATGCAATACATCATTGCAAGACCTTTGCAGTCAAAGCTATGTATTTGAATATCAGCACTTTTGAAAATTTTTTAAGTTTTAATTATTAATTAATGAATTATTTAATTAAGCTAATTTAAATACAGTTTGGGAAATTATATTTTGCTAAATTCCTCACAGATGAATATTATAAACAACAGATTTGTACTGTTATCTATAAGCTAGTTTGCTCCAAAACAATGGCAAAATTCGCATTTAGAAGACCAAACCTAACGTTTGAAACATTGAAAATCAGGTTGATGTCAGAATCCAATGTCAGATTGACGTTAATCTCCAACATTGGACAGACTTTGTATTGTGATTGAAACTACAATACAACGAAGAACCCAACATCAGGTTGTTGTCAGAACCCGACATTGCGATGACATCAAGGATGACAGGATGACATCTGTATTCTGACGTTAACCCGACTTTCATTTCCAACCCGAATACAACTCCACCCCAGCAACCAAAATCATCCCCTGACTGATGTTACTACTTTCTACTCAAGGACTTTGACAGAAATGTAGTGGAGTAAAAAGTATGATATTTGTCTTTCAAATGTAGTGGAGGTACAGTAAAAAAATGAATACTCACAATACAACACAGTCTCATGAAGATGCGTATCTATACCACGAGTGTCATTTCTCGTGGCATTTATACGCCAAAAGTGTTTTTTTCGTGTATATGGTACGCACTAAAAAACCCTGGGTTAGGTTAAGGGGGGAGGGGGGTGGGGAGTTCGTGCGTATTATACGCAAAAAAGTGCGTATCATATGTACGCGAAAATCGCGTGCCAAATACACGCAAAAACTGTTTTTGGCGTATAAATGCCACGAGAAATGACATTCGTTCCATAGACACGAACTTTCATGAGATCGGGCTGCACAATACAGATACTCAAAAAGTGTACTTAAATACAGTACTCAAGTAAATGTACCTTGTTACTGTCCACCTCTGTTTAGATCTATTGTGAACAATTTTGCCATGCATACCTTTTTATTTTTTTTGATCTTCTAACTGGACCTTCTGGATTTATTCACTCTCCCGGCCCGGGACACTGAATATCCCGGTTTTCGAAAGGCAGCGTTGCAGAAAGCACACTATGCAGTATGTTCTGATGCGTCCAATTCTGGGCAGACGAAATTATTTCCCTACATGGTCCAGTATTTCTGTCTATTCGAGAGTGTGAAGTAGGGATTGTTAGACTTTTATAATGACACCAAGACATCTAGTCAAGCTATATTCAAACAAAATAGTGTCTACTAAGAACAATGGACTTTCAGTCCGTCAGATCACTGCCTTTGGCATAAATAACGCCCCAGTTAATTATGGTCGGCACAACTCAGTTTTTCAGAAACTCAGAGAAGCTAACCCACAAATTGTGAAGGGCAATTGCAAGAGTCACATTATACAAAACACTGTCAAAGCAGCTAATCGTGTCTTTAGTGCTGGAGGGTGTGACGTGGTTACAAGGCCTTTGTGCTGAAGGTGTATAGTTAATTAATTTGTTCTGCTAAAAAGTGGAATTGCTTAAGAACTTCTGTGAATTTACTAATACAAAATACAGGGAGATTCTGAGGCATGTCCCCACACACAGAGATACAGAGGATTTTAGAGTTGGCCAGCTTTAAAGACTTATTTTCTATCCATGGGAAAGGAGGACTGCCCAGGTTTTATCTGGACATTTGTGTGTGGTGCGAGTGATGCAGAAAATGTGGAGCCTACTATTATAGCTGAATGCATCCTGGCATTTGTGCAAAATGAGATGCAAGAATTTGATTCATCTATTGATAGTGACAGGGCTACTGTGATTGGCGGGTACTCTTGCGATGAACCGATTGCGCAGTCAGCTAATCGCAAGGCGCACAGAAAAATTATATGGCAGCAAAGCAAGAAAAAATACTGAGGAACCTTTTACGCAGCAAAAGGAACAGTTCAGGAGCTTGGTAGACAGATTTTTTTAAGAAGGCAGTGCTATATCTTGAGGATAAATTTGACTTCAATGACCCGGTTCTTGCACACATTGGCTGTCTTAGCCTTCATGGAGGACAATCACTCCAGTGGTCAGAGTTGGATGTTTTAGTGGAAAAACTGGCCCTGAATGTTGAGGAAGACACGCTGTATGGCGATCATTCTGAATGAGGTGTTACACAACAGACCATACCCCCAGACAGAAAGTGGGCCTTTTTTTTTTTTTTACCAAGGCGACTGAATCCATTGAGCTGTTGAATGGCTGCTTTTGTTTTTTTCCATAGGAGTCATGCAAGAGTATTCAGTCATATGGAGGATGTTTGGTCTGATAAAAGAAACAGACTGCCAGTTGCAATGGTGAAGTCTGAGCTTCAGGTCATTTCAAATTGTCATACACTGAACTGATAGCTGCAGCAATGGGAAACGCCAAGTATAGATGGAAGACTTGGTAAGCTAGCCTATTTGATTTAACAAATATGTGGTCAGCTCCATCGTGGTCAATTAGCTTATCATCCTTAAATGAAACGACAAACCCAAGGTGGTCAGTCAAGGTGAGAGGACTGAAATTTTAATTAATTTATGTGAAGACAAAATTATGATTTTGTCGAGGGCTCGACCAGCTAGCAGCATAGTCTCAATAAATTATCCAGATTAGCTCGAAAATGATGGTGTAACGGGGCGAACAAGACGATCCATATGCCAGACTTTATTCCAAAACATGGTCTTAATACAGGAAAAGGTCAATAAACAGCAAACAGGTGGCAGAGGCATGACAGAGTAATCCATTGGGCAAGCGATCAACTGGATAGACGATCGGCAAACAATATCCAACAGCGGCAAGGCAAAGAAAGATAATCCAGGGAAAAAGCAATAATACAAACAAGGTACAAACATAGTCCAAAGGGCTAGGCCAAGGGTGAATCCAGGGAACATGGGCAAGAATCAGAACACAGGAAAACACAAAGCAAAACTAAGCTCACTGGAGGGCTCTATAGAGAAGCTAACACTAGAGGAGTGCTTAACACAAAACAATACTCAGCATCAGGGAGAGAAAGTCCAAGGATAATAAAGAGTGTGAGATAGCGTGTGATAGTTCTCAGGTGTGAGCATAATTAGTGGAATCAGCTGTGTGAATCGTCAATGCAATGAATCATGGGGATTGTAGTGAAGTGCAAGAGTCCATGCTGTGAGTGGGTGACCTCTGGTGGTGACTGACCGGAAGTGTGTGGACCAGATTCATGACAGATGGGTAAGATGTCATACAATGTCTGATGTGTTCAACTCAGTCAAATGCCCAAAGTATATATATATATTTATATATGGATATTTTTTTATCCCTTAACTCATTTTGAGAAAGAGAAGAGAGCAATATGTGAGTAGAGTGGGCGTTGTCATAAACGAAAAGTAAAAATACACTAGTTGCACCCCAAATCATAACAGACAATCTTCACACAATTTTTAAAGCTTACTTTTACCTTCTTCCAAGGTTTCTGGTTCAAATTCCAAAAGGCAATGATTTTTGAGATTTTTTTATTGTAATATTCACTTTTTATTTTAAAAGTGTACAACTTTCGTCAAGAGTGCAAACTGAACAAACTTTTCACATATAATCTCCTAAAGCATGTAAGTTCTTAGCATTTTACTTAACAGAAAATAATTTTCAGGTGCATGTACTTTAAGTTGCTTTGGATAATTAAGCATGTGTCAAAGATTGTAAACCCAAAAGCTTTTTCCAAATAGTACATACAAATAACTTTAACAGTTTTTGTTTTATTTCCCAAATATTTTTTTCATTTGTGGTTATTATTTAAAGGGACATTGTGTACATTTTTATGTATTTTATTATTTAAAATCCATATCTTTGTTTGAAATAACAAACCTGTTCACCCGGAGGAACACTCAACGAAGTAGGCTATTAGAAGACATCCTGTCATAGCTTTTTGGTACATAATGGCTACCGTAGATGGGAGAAATTCCTACATACAGTATTGTCCCTTTAAAACATTGTGTTGGACATTGTGAATGCCTGTAGAACAAATGAATTTAGAGACTGCTAGTAAACAAGTTCAAAACATTTACACATTCAATTACTCTCTCTCATTTAAAAATAAATATGCATACATAACCTCAGTAGATTCAGATTGATTTCTGAATTGATTGATTGTCTATACATTATCATTTCACTGTCCCATGATGTGGAGTTCACAGTGTTCTCTTGTGTTCTCAAAGAGAACTGCACCAGGAATGTCCAACTGATGTGTTGCTGGAGATTTAAATAATTACATAGCATATGCTTGGCATTGAGATTTCAGCTGCTCTGGGGAAGGTCATAGATGGGTATTTAGGAGCAGTGGGACAAACTAAAAAAATGTACATTAACAAACATTAAAAAGCATGACTGATGCAGCGTAATAGATAAATTGAAAACCTTCCCAAATTGTGCATTTTCCTCTCATAACTCATACATGAATAATTAAGTAGGTCGATTTGCATGCAGCTCGTCTTCTTCGTTGGTGATTTTGGGGACTACGCGACAAGCCACGCCCACTCTGATGCGTTCATCCTGACCTGAGCAGAAGCACGTGATTAGGCGTGTTTACCTATGTTACAATGTAGCGTCTATGAGTCCATCATCAACCTCAGCCGAATAATCAATTACACGCTTACGTTCAGGAGCAGAATCAGTTATTGGATTTACATTAGGGTCTTCGCTGACAAATAACTGCTCGATGCATCTGAGAAAAGGGAATCGGAGTGTATAGCCTGCGGGCGAGCGAGCGAGTCAAGCGGAACGGTAACACGATTGATATATTGGTAATCTTTACACATTTTACGTTGTTATTTGCATTTTAAACGTTTTTAATTGCATTTTAATTGCCTTGAGCGCATGGCAGCCAATGTAAGTGAATGCAGGCGCTGTCAGTGTTAGTTTAATAGGTCGCTGTGGCTTTGAGGAAGTTGACATTGAGCGTGAAATACTAAAGTACGACAGTGGAAATGACCTACAGTGTTAGTTGGACTATTAGTCAATATCTAGACGACGTTTTCTCTGCATGTTACATGATATGTGCCTTTTCTATGCCAGATTGCCAAATCACATGGAATGCTGTGTCGGGGCTGTGTCTCAAAACCTAATGAGCTGCCTTCCTAGACAGCATTTTTAGGAATCGGTTCACTTACGATACCAGGAAATGTTACAATTACACGTGCTGCCAAAAAGTTGTTTATATGTTCTATGACTGGTACCGAGATGCCTACAACATATTGTTTAAATGTTTGATTTATGACAGTGTGATGATTAAATCATCAATACACCTACAGCAATGCATCCCTACAACAATAATAATGACATTAAGCCTAATAATTACAAACTCAATATTGTTGTTGATGAATAAAGTATATTATTTTTTACCATTAAATATACCATTTATCGGTAGGCCTGATATTTCAAAATGTAAATATCAGTTAAAAAAGTGATAAAACTGATTATTGTTTTATCTCTGTTGTTGGTTTGTATCTCTAGAGTGGGCTCTTTTGAGGGATACGGGACAACCAGATGCATTCCTAAATCTCTGCTGCTGTCCTCATCATGGGTGTCATAGAGGAGACTGACGTAGAGCGTGAGTAACACTCTTGTCCACTTTGCCCAATATATACTTAATTTCAACTAACTTTATAGTCCACACATAAACACAAGCACTTGTAAGCATGATCATGTCACACTTGTCTAGAGTTATAATATGCTTAATGTTTTTAAGTTATACATTGCTTTGATTTTACTTGTAATGCTTATGGCCGCTGACCAAATCTCTCTTAAAGGGTTAGTTCATCCAAAAATGCCAGTTCTGTCATTAATTACTCACCCTCATGTCATTCCAAACCCATAAGACTTTTGTTGAAGCTTTTTGATCAAATCTGAGAGCTTTCTGTACTCTCCATAGGCAGCTAGACAGAGATCAAATAACTAAATTAATTGAATGGCTTAGCCCAAATTTTCTGAAGAGACATGATCGCATTTAGAATTTTATTCACATACATCCTTCAACTCACGCATCAGTTGCGGTAAATCATGTATGTTGAAGCTCAAGCATGTTTGCTTGAAGTGCCAGAAACAGCGAGGTTCATTCTCACGTGTTACTCAGCACTTTTGAGATTTCACAAGAGGCTTGTTCTCATGCGTTAAGCAAGAATGTTTGAGCTTCTGTTTATGTTCACTGATCAATGTTTATATGTAGTGATCATCATTTAAAACGTTCGAGTCTCTTGGACTAAATTAGGACAAAACCTTTCCATTCATATGGATTAGTTTTATGATCTGTTTATGAACTTTTTGAAACGTCAAAGTGGTACAAAATCTTCATTTGTGTTCCGAAGATGAACAAGTGTCTTACATGTTTGGAACGACATTATGGTGAGTAATTAATGACAGAACTATCCCTTTAAGGCTGCATTTATTTATTTATACAGTAATATTGTGAAGTATTATAATAATTTCAATGATAATGTAATTCTAATCTAATGTAATTTATTGCTGTGATGGACAAGCTGAACTTTCTGCCACATGAAAAAAAAAAAGTAATGTTTCTGTCGAAACATGATCTTTTTTTTTTCAAGATTCGTTGGTGAAATAGAAAAATTTTGTAACATTTTAGCCTAAATGTCTTAACTGTGACTTGTAATCAATTTAGTGCATCTTGCTGAATAAAAAATAATTTCTTTAAATATAAAAAAAATCGGACTTTTAAACATTTGGGTATTATTTGCATATTAGCTCAGCCCTATAGATGGAGAGGCAGAGTAATTGATATAGATAAGTCTATATGTGAAAGCACCTGTTTTTCATTTAAAATGAACTCCCACATTAATCCAGTCTTGGGCTTTCTTTAATCCCATTAGTGTCTTTCAACACTGAATTCTTTAGGTTGGATTTAAAGCTAATTGCCCAATGAGTATGTTTAGGCAACTCATTTACTCTGTGTGCTGTAGGTAGATTAGAATAATCTCATCAGATGGGACTGTATGTGAAGATTAAGTATGGTTAAAATGTCCAGATGTTGCAAAGTTTTTATCACCATATTCTGCATTGCAGATTTCCCCCCTTACGTTGTACTCTCTCGGTGTTGTGAGTTTAGGAGCAGGAGTGAGTCATATCATGAGGCATCCATCATGTCCTCAATGCAGTGCTTGTGACCTACTAGTGCACGAGTTAATTACACTAATCCCAATGATTAATTGATCACCCACTCACAAGAGTTGTTTTTGTGTTGGTGAGAAACATTAATGTCTGCTGTTGAAAGAATATGTTTGGGTAGGACTTTTGTATCTGAATTTACTGCATTGTATGAGATTGTTAAGAGAAAAAGAAAAAAGAGAAAGAGAAAAAGAAAAAAAATATTTAAGCTAAGTTTGTCCATTGATTAACTGGTATAGTGGCAAAAGTATGTGTAAAAAAGGGGGTGCTTGTCTTGTATACAGTACTATTAAATAAATTGGGTATTAAAAAAACAGTTTATTAAACAAGGATGCTTTATCAAAATTAAAATGCATTTATAATATTACAAAAGATTTAGATTACAAATGAATGCTGTTATTTTAAACTTTCTGTTTAGAATCCTGAAAATAATGTGTCCCAGTTTCATTGATGATAATGTTTATTGAGCTTTAAATCAGCATATTAGAATGATTTCTGAAGGATCATGTGACACTGAAGACTGCAAAAATGGCTGCTGAAAATTCAGGAATACATTTTGTAAAATATATAAAAATGTTTTACTGTATTTTAGATCAGATAAATGCTGCCTTGGTAAGCATACGAAACTTTATTTAAAAGCATGCAAACCCCTTTTGAACGGTAGTATATAATTGGCTGTGTCCGGAATCACATACTCTCTTGAGTAGGTACTTATTTTGAATAATTAATTACTTTGTGAACGCCAAAAAAAGTATGTTCTATATAATATGAATTTGAGAAGTATGAATAAAATGCAGACATACTATGTTTGCCAGGTCATTATTATCATGTGACCTACCAGTATCACTTGCATAGGTTCACTGCTATTCACAAATCCTCTCCTGTGGGCTCATGGGATAGTAAAGTGTTGTTTGTACGTATGCTTCAGAATCTCGCCTGAAGTAGTAGATCATGTGGGTACTTTTTGCCTAAACTTTTATGAGTACTGTGAATTTGGACACTTCTTTTGTCACATACTGTCGCCTTGCTTTTGGCTTGCTTTGAGCTTGCTCAGTTGGGGTTATTTATTTAGTGTTTAGCAATGTTGTTGATCTGTGTTGTGCTACTTACATGTTATCACTGTGAAGCTGCTTTGATACAATCTGTATTGTGAAAAGCGCTATATAAATAAATGTGACTTGACTTGACTTGACATACTGTTTTCACCTATTATATACAGTAGTAGGGAAGTAGGCCTACTGTATATAATAATAGGCCTACTTCCCTACTGTGTTCATTTATCTACAAATATGGATACAGCCACTGTGTTTGCGTACCAGTACACACATTTCAAAAATTATCCACCCTGTTCTGTCCTCATATTGATGTACATGTTTTATCCTATCAGAGGTGACCCTGGCTCTTTTGGATGCTGCCAATGACAAGGATCCGGTGGTGCAGGAACAGGTCAGGAAATCCATCTTGACACTGGGGAACCAGCAGCCTGATAAAGTCTTGTCCATGTGTCAGGACTACCTGCTCAAACACCCCAAGGTCAGCCAAAGATTTTTCTTAAAACATCTGAACCGGTTTTGAAAAGGTTTTCCAGAGAAATATTATGTTCTCTCTTGAAATTTTCAAATGCTCGACTCATGTGTTTCCAAATGATTTCCTCTGTGAAGACTAATAGAATAGGTTAAATAGATTAATGCTGAATCCTATGGTTTTTATATGATCTAAAAAGCATCAAATATAAGTTATCATGGATTCAGTCTTGTCTCTGTAGCTACACTAATATTCACAGGTTTGGGGTCAGTAAGATTTCTTTTAAAGAAATTTATATTTTTATTCAGCAAGGATACATTAAACTGATCAACTGAACAATAAAGGTAATTAAAATGTTAGAAAATATTTTAAATAAATGCTTTTTAATTGAATGTTAAAGGGATAATTCAGGATTTAGTATTAAGCCTTGTACTAGTAGAAAACCTGTAGTATTTTCGATTTAGCATGCTTTCCACCCTCATATTCCCCTGAGACGAGAGATTTTTGTCTGGAAAAAATCCTCCGATGACCCAAAAATGATTTTTTGGCCAGAGGCTAAAGACTACAGTCAGAAGTAGGGGCTGTCCCGCATGTTTTCAACCCACCCATAGAGGGTGGGATCTTACTCGCTGAATGTACACATAGTGTCAGCCATCTTTTTTTGGAAGCTAAGCTAGCAGGCTCTTGTTCTGGAGAAAGCCGAGTAGTAGGGGTTACCATCCTCTTTTTCCCAGACATGTCCGGCCGTCGATGTCTGGGATTCAGCTTTTGCTTTCTGCAGTCGCCATTCATTGTTTACACGTACATCTTTTGTTTCAAACTAACTGAATTCATTCCGACTGGTGAATCTGAATGTAGTGTTTACATAAACGCTAAACAACTGATCGGTTGATGTGCGTTTTAACATTGCCAAAAAAGTTCCCACTCCTCCTTGAGAGATACGAGACCGGTGCGTCTCACAGGTGCCGCTTATCGGTAATCACGCCCCTGGCCTCGCGAGATGGTTCTCACTGCGGAACATGAAATCCACAGGAACATTACATACACCTAAACCTACCCAACTCCACCCCCTGATCCCTAAACCCAACCCTAATCCTACCCATCTCCACCCCTTGGATCTTGATCCGACTCCTCCCCGTGGATCTCATGTGCTGCATTGAGGTGCTACTGGGCCTCGTGCTGCTCTCCCGCGCCCCTAGTCTCGTCCTGCTCGCCACAGTAAACATGATAAATGGCGACTGTAGAACACAAAAGCCGTATCCCGGACACATTGGGCGATCTCGAAACACATTTTCGGGCAGACTCATCACGGAGTCGGAGACTCAGTAGTAGCTTAGACTTGTTGTTTAACTACTGCACTCTGTTACTGGTAGGCGTGGCGTTCTAGGGCAGCTAAGAAAGTGCATTCTGGGAGTTGTTGTCTTTCATCCAAATAAGCCAAAAATACATTTTCTGTCTTTTCTCAGTCTAGAAAGCTCCAAATTCAAAAATAAGTTCACATTTCTTCTCCATAAATTACCCATTTTAAATACACATTCATCTTTTCAGAGGTGAAGTATCCCTTTAAGTTAATCAAATAATCCTGATGAAATGGTTTAATATAATAGTTTAATAGAAAATAAATGTTTTGAAAATCGAGATTGCCTTTTTAAAGCATATAACCAGAAAGAAAGAAAAATAATTCAGTGCTTGTTTTTTTATAAAGGAAACACACATTAATATAATTTGTAATAAACCTTTTTACCTGTAACCATATCTCTTTTTTATCGATTTGTAATGGCTGTGTTACTGTTGCCTGCCTCTGATTTGGCTCATGTCTGTTTTAATAGTTGACCAGCTTTGTCAGATGTGAATGTAGGATGTATGAGTTTGCTAAATTTGAGACTGTGTTTTTATTAGTACATGTGCATGAGCTTACTTACAAGTCACCTTTGTCCTGTGTAGCTGGTGGTCGTGCACAGAATGGTGGTCTTGCAAACCATTGAGATGGTGGTGAAGAGCAGGATTGATGACATCAGTTACCCCAAGATCAAGAGTGTTATACATCTGGCTTCTGATGAGATGACTAAATCAAAGGTGAGGACTGATTTACACTACGGTTAAAAAGTTTGGGATTGTTAAGCTTTTTTTCATTTTAGTTTTTTAAAGAAGTTCTTATTTTTTGTCAGTATTACATTGATCAAGAGTGACCGTAAAGAGATTTATAATGTTACAACAATATAATGATAAATGTTTAATTCAATTAATCAAAGAAAAGAAATCTGCCACAGTTTCCTCAAAAATATTAAGCAGCACAACTGTTTTTAACATTGATAAAAATAATAAATATTTTCTGAGCACTAAATCAGCATACTAGAATGATTTCTGAAGGATCTTGAAGACTGGAGTAATTATGCTGAAAGTTAAGCTGTGCTTTCACGGGACTAAATTACATTTAAAAAACATATTCAAATTGAAAACTGTTATTTAAAAAAAAAGAGAGGAAAGAACTGGGTCTATTTTGAGTGAGTGTCTTGCTTAAACCTTTCAATGACATTTAGGAAAATAGTTATGTGACAGGTTACTCCTAAACATGTTAAAACGTAGTATTTAAAAGCATTGTTTTTAATTAATTTATTTCTTTGTTTATTGTTTGTATAATATAAATGTCCAAAACAAATTTATGATTTTGTATATTTAAACATATAAAACAAATTGTCTTCTTTTGTACAGGAAGTTGTCCCAGACTGGCAGCAAGCAGCCAGTAATATACTGGTTGCTGTGGGAAACAAATATATTAATGACATCATGGAGGAGATACTCGGGAAGTTCCAGCCAGGAGTTTTGCCACACTTCTTTGTGGTCCAAACACTAGCCAATCTCTCAGACTCAAATGGTACATAACCCTAATCAAAACTCATGAAATACATTAAAGATTTTCTCTTGTGATGTCTTTCTTGAATTAAGCTCTAATTTAATTTGATTTATTTTTTAAGCTTTTTTGAAGATTTTTGAAACTAGAAAAATGAAAGGGAAGTTACAGTTTGACCTGCAAACTTCAGTCAGGAGGTTAGCAAATGATGTAATCATGCTTCGTTGCATTCTTTTGAACCGTATTTATTATTTTTTTTTACCATCATTAGTACTTATTATTTCCACGTCCTATAAACTTTGTTTGGAGTCAACACCACTGGTTTCCCGACCTATTGTCTTATGTACATTGTGTATATCTAACAGTTGTATAACAACTACCCTTAGGCCTGGTCATTATTTTAAGATAAATTATTGAAATAATATCTCAATAATGCAGATTTGGACTGTTTAAGTCCTGTGTTCTTGTTTGGTTACGTTTCTGACCTGTTTTGATATGTTTGACCTCTGCCCCACAGTATATGGGATGGTGCCATTTCTCAGTGCTATATTGGGGACCATGTTGCCCATGCTGGGAATGACCAAACAAGACAACATGAAATGGGTTTTCTCTTCCGGTAAGCTCAATTACAGGTCTGCGTAAAGTGTTACCTTTTTCTGTGTCAGCTAAACGACAAAATGTGAATAAATGTATACCCTACTTTCAGAATTTTGGGTTGGTAAGATTTTCAGCATCATTACTCCAGTCTCCAGTGTCACATGATCCTTCATGGTGCTCAGAAAACATTTCTTATTTTTATCAATTTTGCTTAATATTGTTGTGGAAACACGATAGTTTTCTTTTCTTTTCTTTTTTTGTAACTATGCAAAAGTGTTTACTGTCATTTTTGAAAGAAAGTATTACTTTTATTCAGTAAGGATGCATCCGTATTATTTATTTTGACGTGGCTTCTCATCTATTTACGTTTCCTCTAAGCTCTCTGCCGGTTTAGCGAGAGCATTCTAGAGTATCTGGCCAACCTAGACAAGGCTCCAGACCCAACTGTGCGTAAAGACACCTTCTCCAGTGAGATTTACTCAGCCTACGACATCCTGTTCAACAGCTGGATCCAGAGCAGAGAGTCCAAGGTACCCTCAATGAGACAGAGCACACATCCAATTACAGCTAACTCACTTTTGAGACTAAAGAGGGACATGAACTTTTGGCAAATGGGTTCATTTCAGTTTTTCTTTGGAATTGAAGCATGTGAAAGACGTGGAAAGACATGTGAGCCTGTAAACTAAATCTGCTTTTTTTTCAGATTGGATTGTGTGTGTAGTACATTTATAGAATAATAGTATTCATATAATAATATTCAAGACTATCATTTAAATACTCCTTGGTCACTGATCATCAAAATAACTTCTAATTTTACATCCACATCCCTTTTTTTAAATCTATCTGGCTTGTTTTTTTTTTTTTTTTTTTTTTTTTTGCTTTTCTTTTGCCAATTTGTTCTAGTGTGAGTGTGTGTTCATCCATGTACATGTTTGTACCTGATTGTTCTCGTGTGTATCTTTCGGCAGCTGCGTATGACTGTAGCAGAGGCTCTCGGGTCAATGAGTCATCTGATGGCACATGATAAACTGGAAGAACAGCTTCCCAAACTCCTTCCCACCATACTGGGCCTCTACAAGAAGAACGCAGAACACTACATCATCAGCAAGGTAAAGTCCTCCTCACCTGATTCACAATTAAAGTAAATGTTTGGTGGAGGTTAATGGGTCAACCAGTTATTCAAGCTAAGTTCAGGTACTTTTCCCACTCTGAACTTTTAATGTTTCTACATTGTGTTCAATAAAGACATGAAAATGTGTAATTGTTTGTGTTGTTTAATCACTTGGTTCATGACTGAATTAGATATCTGCCTGCCTAATGTAGTCTAATGCAGTTTGTGTTTGTTCAGAGCTTGTGTCAGGTCCTGGAGGCCTCTGTGAATATGGGCAGCAGAGTGTTGGAGACACAGATGGATGGTCTTTTACTTGCTCTGCACCAACAGGTATGTCTCTCTCTCAATCTCTCTTTATGTGCACCACCTTTACAGACCTCTAAATCTCTTGCTTAAGTTCTTGCAATTGTGTTTTCATTTTGGTGGAACAGGTTTTAAGTTGGCTAACCACAGTGTTACAAAGAGAGCAACCCAGGGCCATTTAACAGTTTAACATAATAGGAAGTGTTCACAGAAGTTCACCTCTGTGGCCTTGGAATTTGTTTGGATTTAATTTGAAATCGGCTTAGAAAAGATGTTTATTGACTGATGTTTTGATTTATTTTGACATTTATTACATTTATTTTTAAACTTTACACTCTTTTTTTAAAATAGAAAACCAGTTTAGTTCATTTAATTGCATTTAATTTTTATTAAAAAAGCAAGTTTTTAAAGTTATTTAATTCTGATTTATTAATTTTATCTTTCCAGATATGCTCACCTGTAGACTTCAGCAACCCTCCAACTGTTAAAAATCACAACGAGGTCTTGCGATGCTTCAGTATCCTTGGTGAGTCTTGTTTAAACCTTTTTTTATTTTATTATTTTAAGGTGCATGCAAAAGTAAAATCATAGAAACCAATTTATTTTACTAGCCATGTGGTCATGAACTCAAGTGAAGTCAGCTGACTGCTGTTTGCAATATCTTTGTCATGTGCTGATAGAGTCTGAGCTGAGATTAATTTAAAGTGTCTGACCAGCCAGCAGGCTCTTTCAATCAGTGAAATGATCTTGTACAGTTGTGTGCTTGGTCCTGATTTGAGTTGACACACACCAGCTGGATTTCTCTCCTCTCGCGGTTGTGTTTTATCAAGCAGATGCAAGGAGTTATTTTGTGTTTTCTGTGTGTGCATGTCAATCATGATGTTTTAATCATGGGTGTGTCATTCAACAGTGAAAATAATAGGTGTCAGTGCTAGATCTGTACTGAAGCAAGTGCATAAATTGGCTTTTTGAATGGTTACATGGGCACATTTTTTTATATTTATTTATTAGTTCCCAGGTTTTTGCCTATTCATTTTCAACTTGGGTCCTAAAACAAAACCTGTCAAATACCACTGGTCTAGATAATGAAGGAGAGACTTTATACGGGCTATTTATATATTGGATCATTTACCAGACATCAAAACCAGACACCATTTACTAGCGTGTATACATTTGAACACCAGGTTTGGTGGTCCATTTATTGGCACAGAACACTTTCAAAGGCTATGACGGTAACTGAGGGTGAACTTGACAAATTTAATATTTTGCTGTTTTTGGTCCCAGCGAACACATTCCCTGACCGCCTGATGGTGTTTGTGCTCCAGAGGTTGGAGAACAGTAACGAGAGGAACAGAATGGGCTCACTGGCTGTCCTCAGACACCTCATCAATTCATCCAGTGAGTTTTAAACATGTAATCAAATATGTCAATTATTCCTTTCTCAACCAGACAATCGCATCCAGTCATACTTGGTTATAAAGGGATCAGAATACATAGATCTGTATTTTTAAAACTCTACTCTGTCTATTCAAGCCTCCACTATGGAAACCAAGAAGCTCCTAATTCTAACCAGCATCAGGCAACCTCTGGCTGACCACAGCAATAAGGTACATAAATAAATCCTCTGAATGTGATATGTGACAAAACATGGGTGTTTCTTCAACTTTAGGCAATGTTGCCCCAGTGGACCGTTAGAAAATAAACTCCCTTAAAATGTTCGAAAGTGAATGTTCATGCATAGGAGTTCCCCCTGTCCCTATTGTTATCATTTATGCTGCAGTGTCTTTGTCACTGTTATGTATAGTGTAATAGTTTAATCGAATTATGTGGTGGAAACGTGTGTTTTTTTTGTTTTTTTTTCAGGAATAAATGTGCAGAAATTCTGAGTGTTCAGAAAGGTCTTAATGATTGTGTTTACCTGTACAGGTGAAGAAGAGAGTGGTGCAGGTGATCAGCGCGATGGCTCATCATGGTTACCTAGAGCTGGAGGGAGGAGACCTGCTCGTCCGCTTCATCATTCAGCACTGTGCTCTACCAGACACTTATCATGTACAAACATTTCATTATCTTACTACAGTGTCACATGACTGTAGCTGCAACTGAACTTCCTGCTCATTTTAGATTCTGTTTGATAAGTCTACAAATCTCACTTGATTTCTCATGCTTTGAACCGCAAGATTGTTAATGAGCTATTGTTTCAGACCTCTTTAGCATTCAATTTAGCAAGCTTGCTCAGTCCATAGTCCATGTTGAGTCATATGTCAATGCATAGCTGAGTTTTTAAATATTTGCATTAGCTGGGGTGATTCCCTTTGTTTGATAGCTTTGAACAATTATTGGTTTTAGCCTAGCCTTAGTTATACTAGGGTGTAATATGATATGGGTAATAAAATGTGTTAATTCATACAGCGAGGACAGCGACCACCAGACCCAGAGGAAGTGACCAATGAGGCTCTGCGTAGCATGTGTGATAACACGTTACATCTTTTCACTACTACAGTGGGCCGGCTGACTGATGTGAGTACACACAATTGTACAACTTCCGCAAACTTAGATGCTTGAAGTCATGGTTCTTATTTCAAAATGTGCAGTGTTTATGATTCTTTTCTTATTACTGTTGTGCAACATTATGATGATTGACTGCTATTGCATGTCATTTTATGCATGCCTGGTTGACTTGATAAATGTCATAAAGCTGTCATATCTCTCCCATTATTGTTAAGGTGAGCTGCCATTGAATAATTGGATCTGATTGTCTGGAAGTGTAGTGATTTGAAAATTTGCCATTGATAGCCAATGTTGATCACCCACTGTTCTCAATATTTGGGGAACATCAATGTCTGTGGTGGTGACAGTCGCATCGCCGCTAAATCAGACACATGCACATATGCAATGCGTCTTGCTATGTTGACAACTCAATGAAACTCTTCTATAGTGAAAGATGGGCTTTGCAGTCATTCAGTACAGTCCATCATCTTCACAGCCAAAGTCAGCAGTCTCAGTCCCGCATTGCTGCTTGTAAGAAAGAGTGTCTAGAGAAATATCATATCTTTTTTTTTTCCTGTGAGCTTCCCAACATCAACAGCAGGCCGTTGACAGGGATCTCTCCTCAGCAGACAGACGAAGACAGTTTATGTGCCGATGAGACTGTCTCCATTCACTCTGCCAAAACGCATTCAAATGATAACCACGAAAATTTCAGGAGATTCACAACTAGCCAGACTATTTTTAGATTTTTGCTGTGTCTTACTTGTTAACATGTTGTTTTAAAGCACTGAATTTACACTTTTATGAGATTTATTGTGTGGATTTATCAAGGTAGACACTGAAAGCAAATAGGTAAGAGCTTTTTATATGAATAGATTAATATGATTAAGAAGTTATTTAATCTGATGCAGTGAGTTGCTTCACATTCCTTAAGCAACCATGTTGGAAGATGTCCTGTGGTCATGGAAAAGATGTTACTTTGTTTCAGTAAGGTCAGATTAGTGGTCTGCATTATACAAAGAAAACAACTAAGGAGATTGCTGAAACTGCTAAAATTGGGTCCAATGCATAATTAATACCTAGAAGGATAGTGGTGAACCATCATCTTTGAGGAAGAAATGTAGTCAGAATGTTCTTTTCTTAATGATCCTGATCAGCGATCTTTTTTTTTTTTTTTGGCTAGGCAGTGTATATACTGTATATAAACCATATAAATATATATTTGTTGATTTATTATTTACAATAAACACCCATTATTCAATATTTATATATCTGTTATTAGGGTATATATGAAGAGTTCAGATGCAAAAGCCTCTAAGTGCCATTTGAAATTTTGTTCTAGAATGACCATTTTTATCAAGCTTGTGTATTTAAGTTCAGTAATTTCACTTAAATGACAATTAATAGGTAATCTTCATTTCCATTTAAGTGAAATTACTGAACTTAAATATACAAGCTTGATAAAAATGACAATTTTAGAAGAAAATTTCAAATGGCACTTAGAGGCTTTTGCATCTGAACTCTTCATATATCCTCTCTACACTTTGTCGTTCGTTTACTGAACATAATGTATGTCCACCTGAATTGAGTGCATGTTATTTTATCGTGTAGGTTCTGTGGCCGATGTTGCTTTGCTACCTGACCCCAAATCAGTATGCCAACGCCACCACCCCATTGTGCAAGAGTTTAATTCTTCTGGCCAATAAGAAGCGAACAGCACAAGAACCCAACTTCATCATCGACTTCAATGCACAAGGTGTGGACACACACATATATACGATCATGATGTCACTGATGAGCCTACTCTTATACTAAGAACTTTTCCAAAGTCTGACCTGCAGAAACCCTTGAATCACACTTTGTCTCCTCTGCAGTGCTGCAAATCCAGCAGCAGCCACCGTTAAATCTTTTTTTTTTTTTCGTTGTTGGACTGAAACTAAATTGCACTTGCAGACGTTTTGTTTTCATTGCAAGTCGTTTGCTTTGCCTGTTGAGTCTGTTTCTAATTAGTCAAATGAAAAGTGGTATTTATCAACTGAATAAAGTTTTTTGGGCAGAGGGTAATTGTTTCTTACACTGACAGTGATTAAATTGAACTCTAGTAGGACAAATAAGTCCCAGGCTAAGTGATTATTTATTCGTTAATTGCAATGCTTTTGGATCATGTGCTTTACTAATGGGTTACCCTTGTCTGCTCTCCCCCTCTCTCTGTCTTGCTCTGTTTCTTTCCTTATTCCGCAGGCTATAATCTTCCCTCACAATATATCCTGATGATAAGGCTCTTGGTAAGTGTCAAATTTCCAGTGTTTTTTTTTACTTCAGTCATTATCAGTTTCAGGTGGGCAACGAGTAAGGTTTTACATGCCTCTCTGGACTGCTTGATTCTTGATTCTGGTCAGTTGTGGCATATTTTTGGGCTGGCCTTTATTTTACAGTACATGGACTTACATGTACTTACAGTGTACTGACCTGAGAAAGTAACTACAAGGGTTAGGTTTGGGTGTAGTTTCAGGTTTAGTTCCTAGTTATTGCAATTACTTTTATGTTCATGGGGAACAGGACTGTAAAATAAAGTGCTACCTATTTTTGATGATGACAATCAAACTGAATATTATATCAGTGCTATCTTCATACAGTATTGTTCAAAAGTTTGTGGTCAGTTTATTATTATTTTTTTTAAAGAAATTAATACTTTTAATCAGCAAGGATGCATTAAATCGATAAAGTGACAATAAAGACGTTTACTTTGTTACAAAAAGTTATGTTTTAAATCAATGCATGATCACAAATGTATTGTGTTTTAACAAAAATATAGCAGTACAACACAGCTTTGATGATAAGGAATGTTTCATAAGAACCAAATTAGAATGATATCAGAAGGATCATGTGACACTGAAGACTGAAGTAATACTGCTGAAAACAGCTTTGCCACTACAATGGTATATTAGATAAATATTACATTTAAGATTATATAAAAGAAGGTTATTTTTAAATTCTAATAATATGACAATATTACTGCTTTTACTGTAGTTTTGATTAAATAAATTCAGCCTTGGTGAGCATAAAAACATAAAAAAAGGCATACTGACCCCAAAACTTTTGAACAATAGCGTTTCAGAACATTGAACACATTGAGATATTCATATTCATATTCATAATATTGGTGTTAAGCTAACAATGTCCATTTTTTTGAGTCTTTGTTTCTCCTGATATACACCAGACCTTAAACCTCTAAAATAAATGTTACTTTTTCTTCAGGTGAATGCCTCATTCCCGTTTCGGTGCAGGGGACACGGTGCTCCCTCCCTGAACCTGCTCAACTCTATCAGCCCGAACATTCACCCTAAAGCAGAGACGCTGTGGGAAAATGAGATTCCAAAGCTGCTCGATTATCTTGAAGGTTTGTTAAAATATACAACAGTGATGTAGAGGATTAGGTGCAAGGCTGTTCCTCACAAGGCCACCAGATCACGCCACCTACTGGTCATAACATCCACCTGCACACTTCAATGTTTCACCATATTTTCAAAATTCCAGTCATCTTGAAACTGAATTTTGACATCATGAGAAATGTTGTGGTATATGAAAGAATCCATTTAGTCTGATTGCCTTTGTAAGGAGCCACTGCTCTGTCTAATCTAACTTGCTGGGATATTTTAACAAAGTAAGTCAATTTACTGACATAAGAAGCCTTGTTTCTGTATTTAGTGCAGTAACCAGTGGCTTAACTTTGTTTTAAAAAGTGGGTGGGACAGGAGTGTGGGTGGGAGATTGCTAATACATTGCTTTGTCAGATATGTATTTTAATTGAACACTGAATTTAAGTTGTAAACAGAACTTGTTTTCTGTGATAGTTTCATCCTTACAGTAGTCAACATTTGAAGTAGATCCAAACCTTTCATTAAAGTTGTACATGAATTTTTAACAATACCCATTCTTGACTTACAGTAGGACAACTTTGATTAACTTTTAACTTTTTTTTTTTTACTACAGTAGTCAAAAGTTGACTACTTTAGAATACAATATATTATTAGCACAGAGTTTCTTCACATCAGTGAGTGAATAAATACACAGATCCGTGTGCCTTTATGGTCCAGGGGTATTACTTTTGTTAAGTGGTTTTGGGTTCTAATCTGCCCTCGTATAGTTTATTTAAAAAAAAAAAAATACATTAAAGGTGCCCTAGAATGTGTTGAAATAATATTTTAATTGTGTCTCTTATATCTACATAGAGGGAATGTGGCTTATTAAAATGTCCAGATATGTTTTTACAGGTCCATATTTTTAACTGTAGAATTCGGCCCAAGATTGGCCCTAGAATGAAATGGTCTGTTTTTACCTTTTTTGGAAGGGTCATGAATAGTAATGACAAGTTCTGCTCTGATTGGCTGTTTCACTGTGGCCTCGTTCAAAGTCAGCTGTGTTCCCTTACACAAGACAATAGGATCATCTGTTTGCAGCCTACATCATTAGTAGGCTATGCAAGGGCTGTGGTGCACTCTGAATTACAAGCGTGCAAAATAATCATACGTCACTTTCCAAAAATTATTATTTATTTAATTTTTTTTTTACAAATGGAGTAACGTTAGATGCCTTGTCAAATCAAATAAATATAGCTTCAACTAATGTGGTGGAGAATGTGACGTTAGCTAGAAGGATTGAGTGAGCTAACATTATCTGTGAGCAACTACACTAACGTAGTTAGCCCCTGACGTGTTGTTGATGAAATAGACGAAAGTAAAATTATTTGACAAAAGGGTCCACCCAAAGATGGTGTCACCCAAAAATTATGTCTTTAATGACTCACCTTCATGTTCCAAAGCCCATAAGATGTTCATCTTCGCAACACAGTTTAAGATATTTTACATTTACCGGTAGTCTGAGAGCTTTTTGTCCCTCCATTGAAAATGTATGTACGTTAAGACATCAGCCAAGTAGTCCATATGTCATCAGTGGGTTAGTTAAAATGTTTTGAAGCATTGAAAATACATTTTGGTCCAAAAATAACAAAAACTACGACTTTATTCAGCATTGTATTCTCTTCCGGTTCTGTTGCCGAGCCGCGTTCAGTGATGCTGCTGACGTGAGATGCTGCAGACGTGATAAGTGATAGATTGCAGCGTTTGTCCGTGTGAAGACTGTGAATGAGCCACAAGAGATCAGAATAATTTCAAAAACCACAATCCAGTGCCAGATCACCTCTTATTTAATACAAATGAATGCAATTACTACTCTGGTTGTCCGCTAAAGACACTTACTTACTACAAAAAGTGGTGTGGACATTTCCCACCTGTCCCACCTGCAAATTACACCCTTGCTAGTAATTGAAAGTTAACAGGTTCATTCTGTCGGTGTTTCTCAATGTCAAGGATACTTCCTTGGCAGGACGAGTCCTTCCAAGTCATTTCCTTCAGAGGCTAGGCAAGGGTCCTCTTTAGCATTCGGAGAACACGTAAATGGAACAGGCTAGCAAGTGCACGTCATTGCGTCATTACATCAGTGAAAGGTCCGCTTCGGCGCTGCAAAAATCATAGTGCTGGTGTTCTGCACTGTTTGTTGACAGTCCTTATTTTGTCTTGTCAGTCCTCATAGAAATAAATAAATAAATAAAGTATAAGGGATAATGTATAACCAGGCGGTTGTTATAGTGAATACAACCCCGCAAACTCTAAAGCAGAGGGGTCTTGATTGAATCAGCCTGAAGGGGTTGTACCTACCAAACGGCTACCTACCAAATAAATCAATAATTTGACACAAAATATTTATTTAAAAAGGAGTTTATTCATTCAAAAACGATCATATTACCGGAGTGAACAGAACTAGCACTACGTCCATAGCAACATGATCTAGCTGTTAAAACACATGCAATGGTAAAATATGTGACCAACAAAAAGGCTATAACGTTATATGAAGTAAAAATTAAAAAGTTAATCACCAGTAAAAGGGAACAGCTTTAAATCCCCTCAGCAAATTTGAGCCGATATGTTAAATAGTTTAACAAACATTAAATAAATGGCTAAACTGAAATTATACTTGCTTACGGTGAAATTATTACGCTAACGGTCGACATTTTTTTATTTTTTGAACAAGATAGCAAAGCTGCGCATAGGATTGTGGGTGATTTAAGAGCGCGAAGGCTACACATATGCATCCTTTCCTGTGTATGGGATATTTTCCGAACGAAGGACTCAGTCCTTGGTTGAAATTCTGAGGATCCTCGACATTGGAACAGTCCTTCGACGGACGTCGATGACGTAGCATCCTCGAAATTCCGGCTTCCGAGGATCCTTCCTTGACATTGAGAAACGCCTTGTCTTTCTCTATCAGTTTTTAGGCGAAGGAGAGGTTCTTGAATCGTTTGCTATGATCTCAAGTGCCTCCCAAAATCGCCAGTCCTTAGAGACTCACAAGACAACCAGATGTTTCCAAGATACAGCCAAAATTATATTTGAATATGAGAACTCGTATTTCACATTCCGCGACTCTGCCAAGATAGTTACATAGTGTAGCTTTAAAAACTTCTTTTGGGTATCCCATTATCTTTGACTTTTTCCAGAGTGTGGTTTGAATGCGTCTCTGACTGAATTTTGTGTTTTTCTAACCAGAATCATCTGAAGAATCTCTGGACAAAAAGAAGTGGGAAGAAAGTTTACTTAAGGTCTGTAGTAATGTGTATGAACCCATAATGACTATTGAAAAGACTTGCTTGCGATATTAAAAAACTGTTATCAAGAAATCTATGTGAATAACAGAAAAGAACATGGCCAAAGTTATTGATGGTGATTAACCAAACTTTGATTTCTGATTGTGATGAAGCTCCTGTCTAAAACTCTGGCAGCCATTGACGACAGCCAGTGGACCGGTCAGCTTGCAGCAGAAGCCACACGATACCTGCCCACCTACAACAACTCACTGGAGGAGAAGGTCAGTTTAGAAATCCATCCGTGCCTCTTCATGGTATAAAAAAAGGAAAGCTTTTAAAATGACTCCAATAGCTATTTTTATTGTCATTTTTTAAGTTTTATTTTTAAATGAATCATTGTGATTGCAGCTGTTGTGATCATTCATGAAAAAAACTAATCAAGTGACAGTTTCTTGGTATTGATGCAATGAATTCTTTGTGTAAAAGATTTGAAAAAACATAAAAATGTATCAAACGGCATTCAAGAACTTAGTTCTCAGCTTGTTTGGATGTGTAGCCCAGGGACGTGCACAGGGGGGTTGCTCAGGTTGCCCGGGCAACTGCCCACATGCCCTTCTCGATTCAGGTTGCCCTTCCGAGGGAAAAAAAAATCGTACAATGGGAGTAGAATTTAACGTAGGCCTAGACAAAAAAATAATATAAAAATCGCAAAGCCTCATTCACTTCCAAAAAAAGTGAAAGTCAAACTGTTTCCACGCGACCATAAGACTGCACGCGACCAGTGCGTATGGTAAGGCACCGCAAATTACTCAGGCCGCGCCTCCATGTACGAAGTCCATAAAATGAAGCGAAATTATCCTTCTCGTCACGAAAAGAGGAAGAAGAAAAACATGAGAGTGAATTGCGGGAACAGCAGTCAGGTAAACTTGTGTTCTCTCCTCTCTAGTGTCAGCAAAGTTTGATGGTTTGTCTGGGCAGGCAGTGCATCTCTTGCATCACTTTTTGCCTGACAAAAGTGAGAGTAAAATACCATTATTTATTGCGTTTTGTTTTTGATAAACGACAAAGTGCAACAACAGTGTTTGTTTACTGCAGCTCGGAAAACATAACCGCGTCGCGTGTGTTGCGTTCATATGCGCGTGCACGTAATGAAACTCGCATTTTTCAAGCAGAAATGTGGAGACCAGAAAAATACTGTACAATACGTGAATGATGGCACTCCCAATCAAAGTACACATTATAAAGACACTGATTATCTAGTCTCAGTGTAGTTAAAAACTCTAAACAACTGCACTAATTATGCAAGATATAACCAATGTATTGGCAATTTGACATTGATTGACTATTGATTTATAGGCTATATTGAATTTAAAATGATGATTAGATGAACATTCTGGTCAATATGAATGCAAATCCCTCAGTAAATAACCATAAATCAAGATTTGCTTCAACATGCATAAAAAGAAATAAAATAAAAATCATAGGCTACTGATTCCGAAAATACCCTGTAGAGTGAACCAAAGTTAATCCCAAAAGCCAAAGTTCAGGGTGTACTTTATTATTTTCTTCTTGTTTATGTTTACGTTAATATTCACTTGTTATCTTAACATTCTATAAAAATGCTTTATTCAGTAAATATTGTTTGTTTGAACCTCATTCTGTTCTATATTGTTGTACTTATTCTTTGACTGTTTTGTTTAAAGGAGGGAGGATTGGGCGGTATTGAGTGGCAATGGCAAATGGTTTACATGGCTCACGGCATCACAGATCAGGTAGAGGGCCCCTTAGCAGAATTTTGCTTAGGGCCCCAGGGGGAGGTCAGGATTGGCAAAAAAAGAATTGTATTTTTTCCCGAAATCGTTTTTTATTTATTACTATTTTTTCGAGTTTTTTCCATTCAATCCAGATTATTTCTTTTCAAATAAATAAATAAATATTAATTTAAAAAACAATAAACAACAATATGAGGAACTCTTTTGCTCATTTGTCTCATCTCTGACATTTTGCAATCTTTATAAATAATTATAAGACCATAAGATGAGGCATTGTGTTTGGACATAAACATGGCCAGATAAGACAATTTGGAAGGGGACAAATTCAACTGAATATATTCCTTCATATAGCCCGTGAGGGGGAGGAGGGAGGGGGGGTGCCCTTTTTTCAGGTCAGAGCAACTGCCCCTCAAAATTCCTGTGCACGTCCCTGGTGTAGCCTACATAATAAATGTCTCATGCTGTTCCCCAAAACTAAATATTTATTTCAATGTAAATTTGATGTCATTTCCTGCGTTCTTTTGAAAAACTGTTCTATTTCTCTCTTTTTTTAAGAGTTTTTTGTATAGGTGTGTCGGTGTGATTCTCCAGCAGTGCCAGAATAAAGAGTTGGTCAAGAAACAACTGCAGGAGATCCTAATCAGCTCTCGCCACAATGATGCAATCGAAAGAACGGTACACCAAACTCAGTGCTTGTACACCACGCACTTATCAGTTTATTTTCTGACTTCTGAATTAACAGAGAGTTTATGTGCTGACAGTCAAACTGCTTGCTCAAAAACAACGTTCTGACAGCACACTAAACCTTCTCTGGGGAATTATGTATCTTAATGCATCCCATTTACCACAACACACTGTCACAAAAATTATTAAACATAAACCTAAATATTAGAAAAAAAGTCTGAATCGAGTCGCTAATTATACTATCTGTAAATAATATATTTACTATAATGTAAATATTGGCAAACATTCTAAAAATGTATTTTAATTCCCCTCACTCCACAACAAATCCTTTCAATTAAATGGTATTCTTAACAGAACAGTATGAAACAAACATAAATAATAGTGGCATTCATTAAAAACAACACTTATTATAAGCTCTTTTTTGAGCTTGACATTAATTCCATTATATGTATTATAGGTAATTAATAAGTTATATATAATTTCTAAACATAGATTTGTATAGAATTGATCCAAATGTTCCACAGTTTGGATATCTGAGAAATTGACCACTGTTAAATAAGGGTTTTTGCAGTTATTTAAAAGCTGCTAATTAAGAATAATGGTAGTAACATGCAATAATTGGTTTGCAGGGTGTTGCCATGGGAATTGGGCTGTGTGCCAGCAGCCATCTTGATGGCACTCTGGAAAAACTGGAGGAATTTGGGAAGTCTGATGCCTTCAGGAAAGCCTCTGGGATATTTGGTCTTCTCAAAGTAGGGCGAGTTTCATTGTGCTTCTATATTAATTTTTTTTTCCAAATCAGATGTTAAAAACGGTAACATTTAAATTTAGTTTAAAATTGTCATTTTTTTTTTATCATAATAATTGTGAAATATAGCAGTACACAGTGGTCCATTGTGCAAAGGTTAGGTAGTAAAAGGATCATTATATTAGGTTTATAAAGCGCTTCAGAAACCATATTTCACACATGTTACTTTTCTTGTCATTCAGGATAAAAACGATGTTGATGTGGAGAAAATGAAAAGCACTTTAATTTTGTGTTACGGCTATGTTGCGTTACACGCTCCAGAAGATAAGCTCCTCACTCGCATCGACAGTGACATTCTCCAAAACATCTCGAAAAACTTCAACACCAAGGTAAAACACATAGGGCTCAAGTGTAACGCCATCATATTTTTGTCTGCTGCGTAAAAAGACTTTCTTTGGCCCGAAAATACAGCAGTATTATTGTAGTATTACAAAGTATTTGTAAACTGGTTTTTCTAAATTCTAAAATGTTATTGGGAGTTTTGACAAATAAGTTTTGGGGTTTTAGTTAGTTTTATAGTCATAGTTGGACCAAAAATATCGATGACTCAACTTTCATTTGCATTGGTTGGTTGTTTGAAGAACTTTAATTTTCATGCCTCTGTAGCTCTATTATGTTAGATGAACAGCTCATTTATTTGATCAGAATAATACATTAATCATTTCTCATTGTTTGTTATACCAGTGAGGCAAAAAAAATTAAAAATGTGTTGTTGCTGTTGGTTTTTTCCTAAATAAGTCCTCTAAATGTCCTAGTATATGTTGACAAGATTCAGTTGGCTGCTTTTGAGGCTGCAGTTTTGAGAGTTTGATCTAAACACTTTTTAAGAAGGATCATTAATTCTCTTTGAGTGCTGAAACATATCTCATCTATATTCATATTGTAATTGTGCGATTTTAAATAATTTCACTCTTTGGAACCATGTAACTAATTTTGTTTGCATTCTGCACTCCAGTCCAAATTGAATATCAAAGTTGAGTTCATGTGAGTCTTTATGGGGATTTTTGAAGAATTGTGCTTTGTTTATTCACTGAATTCATTAAAATTAGATGTTTTATATATACTACACTAGTCAACATTTTAAAGTGGATCAAAACCTTTCATTAAAGTTATACATGGATTTTGAACCATTCTTTTCTTATTACAACTTTACGCACACACACAAATAAATAAAGGCATTTTGATTTATATCTCAATGTTTTTAAAGTATCTGAAGGGTCACAAAATTAATCATTCTGATAGTCCATTGTGTGCCCAATCATAAAGTTCTGATCATTGTTAAATAAAATGGATTATCTTTCATGTTTGTGAATTACAATGGATCATTACTTTTATTGTTGTACAGGTTCTGGGAATTAAAGTAGAGACCAAGGTACCGTGAAGGGAAGAGATCATGAGGACCTTCTCTCACCTCTGACCTTTAAACTTTAACTCACTTTCTCTTCAGTCTTGACGCTGCAATCAAAACCTTTACAGTATAACCTTTTGACCCTCTCAAAAAATCTCTTTATGACACTTTTTACGAGAATTGTGTTTAAACAAAAAATGTTTTCGCAGATACAAAGCTCTTCATGTATTGTCTAAATCTTTTTAAAAGGTCTTTTGATAAATTAGATATAAAATAAAGATGACTTTTTTTAACGTTTTACGCTACACTTTGAGTAAAAGAGTCATGGTTTTTGAGAAGGTCAAAAAAAAAAGCTCACTAACCTGATAACCTTTGTCTTACTAAAGCATCACAGTGTCTAGATAGAGGGTTTTCTGGATTTTAGGTGGCTTGATTTATCAACTCTTTTTCTATTGAATCACAATTATATTGTCGCACATTGTGATTTTCATCTCTTATTGCAATGTTTAAAGTACAAGTAAGTAAATGTTATGAGTAAAACATGTATATTTATTCATTTAAAATGAGCATGCTGGGTGCGACTTTGACCTGGAAGTCCAGGTCTTGATTTGCCTGTTTTGTTTGATTGACATATGCTTTGTTCCATAAATCACAGTTTGAGTGTGTTTTCATCTCTCTCTGTGTGTGTGTGTGTGTGTGTGTATATGTTTTCATGGCCATTTCATAGGACATGACTATGAAGCTCAGTCTCATTCATAGTGTTGGACTCATTGCCAAGGCCATCAGCAACAGTGTCCGTAAACAGGGCTTCCTGTTCTCCCGCAAACAAGAGCTGATGGGTGTTATGATGGTGAGAGGTTTTAAGATCATTACGTTTTTTTAATATACGATATGTTTTCAGTGTACTTTCAGTATAAGGAAAATTACATTTCCATTGGGCAAAAGCTAGGAGATGAATGTGGCATAAAATGAAGTGTTATTTTGTAAATCTCAGATCAGTTTCAGAATATGATATACCTATTTAGCATTTGTCTTTTATGTTCTTGCAGGATTTCATCAAAGCTGAACCAGCAGATGTTATGCGGACTCCTGTTCGCTATCTGGTTATGACCACATGTGCCAACCTCATGTATCCTACCATTTTAAATCTTTCTAGTGTTCATCTGCACTATTTTTAAAATGTTTGTCTTTGTAAACATATGCTAAACATGTTTGTCCATTGTAATGCTTAATGAAACATTGCCACTAATCTATTAAGAACTTGACTCAAGTCTTCAGAAACTTAGATCCTCCTTTATCAGAAAATGAAAACTTTGACTTGTTAAAAGTATGTTTGACTGGTGTTTATGGTCTTCCAACTGTGGACACTCTGGACAAAGCTAAAGATGAAGAAGCCCTGGATCCACAGCAAAGAGAGGTCAGAATAAAATATGCATGTACAGTACGTACCACTTGCACATCCCTGGGAGAATGTCTCTTTTGTCTCATGCATGCTTTAAACTTAGAGTTTGTTTTTCATTACAATTCTTTTCCCCTCAGGCCTTATATGCAGATACTTTTAACGCGCTTCTTGAATTGCTGAAGAATGTGTTAGCCAGAGATTTGAGTCCTGATGGTCTGCAGTCTGTTTTTAAGGTGAAGTAGTAACTATAAAAGTTACTGGCCATTTTGTAGTCTCTTTGTCTGAACCCCATGTATTGAGTGCTTGTGCTTTTTCTCAGCATATTGAGAGCTGGCTGAGCTCAGGGAAAGAATATGAGCGGGAGAGAGCAGCAAAGACCATGGCAGAGTTACTGCATTTTTATCTGGACCATCTCAGTGTGAAGGTAAAGGACATCATTGGCGTATATATGTATGTATATACTGTGCATATATGACGTGAGAGAGATTGCTGACAGGGTCTTAGACTCTTTGAATTGCTAGTGTTGGGAATATTTCTTGTAAATGCAAGCTTCATGCTTCAATACTTGTCACACAAACATTCTAGAGATATTTTGATTTTTATTTAGTAAAAGATTCATTATTTTGTAGTGTGTTTGTTTGAAGTAACTCTGAAAATAATGATAATAAATATGAAATTAAGCAAGTAAAGTGTTATTTTATAGATTGTTACCCTGAACACTCTGAATTGGTTTAAGACAAACCTCCCACATCCTTAAATTGAATGCTTTGTATTTAAAGCACATGTTAGTTTTATTCTGCTCAAGCTAAAATGTTAAGCAGGATAATTTAATTTGGCTTCCTCAAGGCACAGATTAATAAAATATGTACTTTAGAATTTTATTTTTTACTGTAGTTAAAATCTTATTAGATCCCATGCTCGTGCTAATCCAGCCATCCCCTCTCTCTCTCTCTCTCTCTCTCTCCCCCCAGAATATAGTGACATTCCATAATCTGGGAGCTCTTGTGGGGCGTCTGGCCCCACGGTGCACAGACCCAAACCCTGAGGTGCGGAGGGCAGCCATAGACTGCGTCTATAATCTAATGTACATTCAGCTGCGCTATGAAGGTACTGCCTTTTTTTTATTTTATAGCAACTCCGTTTTTGTTAGGGTGGGCTTCAGATTGACAGTGTCATTATGAACTTGTTTACACTGTTGTTCTTGTTCTGAAAACACTTAGAAAAGTATCTTGCCTCTTCCATTTTCCTCTCTTTGACAGGCTTTTCACTGGACCACAAAGACGATTCAGTTGAGGGTCTTTTAGATATTCGTGAGAAGCTAAGCAATCCTGACCATTCAGTCTTGTACCAAACCTGCTCTGAGCTGACTAAGGTAAATTGCCTGAATGTAATGTTCCCCTGAAGCACTGATGCTTTTTCTCACTCCCCCTGTCTCTTGTGTTTTAGATCATCAGTAAGCGTTTGCCCCAGCAGCAGTTGAGCACCCTGTTGTTTATGCTGTTTGATGGTTTGGTGGACTCTCAGTCCAACTGTTCCAGAGCATCGAGCGTGATTCTCAACACCTTGCTGAAGAACAGAGGCGCTGGCCTGCAGGATCTGGTACATTACACTTTCATCAGATTGTGGGAAATACATTTTTTTTCTTTTAGTGCCGGCAAATGTTACATGATGACTATATATATTGGACATGGAGATTTATAGACAAACAAACTGATGCAATTTATGATGTCATTATTGAACACTCCAGCTAATCATTCAGACGAATGATTAACAAATTAATTGAAATGTTGAAAGTTAAAGAACAATTAATTCTCAAATTGGCCTTGGGAAAAGGCAATAGACTGGATTTTTAGTGAATAAAAACTTAAATTTTTGTCTGTAGTTTAGCTTCTTGAAATGATTAGTAAACGGTAACAGAAAATTAGTTGAAAAGTATGTTCTATCCACAAGTTTCCTACGCCCCATGAGGCCTTGCGTCAAAAGTGGGCGCGACTTCCGGTTGGAAGTAAACAAAGTGCGAATTGACATGCTTGTTCATTCAACAGTTGACAGTCATTCAAGTTATAGCGATCCAAACTAGCTAACGATGTGGGAACACAACCTCAACGAAATTAAAAAGGGTAAAATAACAGTACCTTTACCCTCCGCAGTAGTTGATTGGGAGTATTATAATAACATTATTAATAATCAATACTCATCAAGGCATGGTGACAGACAGTTGTGTGAGCTGACAAACAATTAAAATAAAAAATACACACTTAGTCATTGTGCTTTGGAGTTTATTCAAAATTATAAATGAATGTGCTACTTGAATACATTAACTGTAACATCAGTAGCGAACAGCCAATCACATGCTGATAGAGTTTATAGAACATTAAGAATTTAAACAAATGTACACAGGAAGATTCGTCGTCTTTTGGGAGGTGATGGAAACTACGGTCGTTGGCAGGATCAGAGACGGGCTCTGGCAGAATCACTCTGATTTCGTTTTCAGCTTATGTTCAAAACAATCACGTTTAAGCCACTGAACTAGTTTAATCCGGTTATACATACAACCGCGAACAGCACATGTTGCCCCTGAGCTCCGTAACGACATCTCTCATAAAGATTTGCGTCTTTAAATAGTAAAATAATTCTCCGAAAAACAGCTAGCCTCTTCGCTAACTAACGCACAAAACACCATTGGAATGCTACTTCCGCCGCCTCACCGGAAGTTTCACCCACTTTATTTTTTATAGGAGCGCCCCTCGGAAACTTGTGGATAACAAAATTAACCAAAATTCACTTCTTTGTCAGGTGCCAGAGATGCTGGAGGTGTTGCACAATCGGCTGCAGGTGATTAGTGAAGAGCAGGTGAAGGTGGCTATCGGTCAGTCCATCCTCATCCTCGCTACACAACACCTTCAGACAGTGGTCAACACGCTCGTCGCCTACCCACTACCATACGACAGGTGATTATTGTGCGTGTTGTTTATGTGCATGGCATTCATTGTCTGGCATGTGCTCCATGATGCTCAAGCATAATAACGATGTGCTTGGTGTGTGTGTGTGTGTCATTGTGTGTTTTCTCCAGTTGGAGCTGTGAGATGTGGATGGCTCTAGGAGCAGACAGCACTTTGGCCTTGCAAATCATGGAGATGATTATCGAGAAGCTCAGTGTTATGGTTCCCTATGTAGATAAGAAGGAGTCCATGTTAAGACCTGGTTTGACCAAAGTTGCCACAAGCCAACCATTGGCTGTAAGTTTTAAAATATTTAGGATTTGTGTAATTTGGCTTTTACACATAATGCATCATCCTAACTAGACATAATCTGTCAATTATGCAGAATCAAGTAATGTTTGTGTTTACTGAAAGAGAAATGCTGCATGAAGCAACAAAATCATAACAAAGCAAGCAAAATGCTTTTTACTGGGAGCTTCATACTTCCCATCCTGACATGTCAAGTGTTTGGTAATGTTATTGACAGTCATTGCTTGTTGAAACAAATACTAGTGGATGCAATTAATAGCTTGATTCTTTAATGTTGCATTAGTTAGGAAATGATGTTAAACTGTTAAAACATATTTATTTATTAAATGGCTTTCACTACCAGTAAAAATTTACTGGTAAAATTTACCAGTGTCAGTGAATTAAAAAAAAAATTTTTGAACTTTTTTTTTGCTCAGCAAGATTTATTTGAACAAATATACATTAAAAGAGAAATATATTGTGAAATATTACAATTTAAAACTTTTTTTCTATTTTGATGTATTTTGAAATGTAATTTATTCATGTGATGGCAAAGTTTAAACAATTGTACTGCTTAATATTTTGTGGCAGCTACTTAAAAAAGAAAAAAAATCTTTGAATATATAATTTAAAAGAACAGGTTTTTGTTTGAAATGTAAATCTTTTTTAATCTTATAAATTTCTTTATTTTCACTTTTGATCAATTTAATGCTAAAACTTTTAAAGGTAGTCTTTTTGTAAGTGCAGTGTCCTGTTTGATAATTAATAGTTATTGATTTTGATTCCATGTTTTCTAGATGACATGTGCCCTTCGTGAGATGATGCTGAATGGTCAGTCAGCTGACGCTGTGGCATATCTGTTTCCAAAGCTCTTCAGCGCTCTGCTTTTGCGTTTGGGTTCTAGCGTGGGAGTTCAGCTACCTAAAGATCTCAACAGCAACAGCATCATTTCAGACCGCAAAACAACCAACAAAAACAATATGGCTTATTTTGATGTGTGCGGGTAAGTGGCATAAATATGCAATTTTGTGCTTATTCAGAGTTACACTGAACACTTTTTGACTCTGTTGTAATTGTGAGAAAGCTACTTGTTTTTAATCTTTTTGTGTATTTACTGAAACTGGGAATATTGATATATACCAAATTAACTATGATTCCAGAAATTTCAAGAACTTTCAGGTCTTGATTTTATGTGTTTCTTTTTAAAATAATTTAAATAGAGATTGGAGGGTTTTTCCAGTATTGTAATGATTTATTTTCATTTGAATTTGAATTTATTGACAGGATAGCCCCTTGAGATGCAACATCTCATTTTCAAGGGGGTCCTAAAATTTATTAATATAATTAACTCTTAAATAAGATCACTCCCTCAGCCTCGCAGCAGCGTTATTTTTTTAATTTACTGCCAAAGCAATATAACACAAAGTATAGCGTTGTAAGTGTATTCCTTTTTTTAAAATGAAAATTTGAAAAACTTCACTAGATTTGCGATGTTAATAACTGTGGAAACACGTTATCACAGTCCGTGAATAGTGTCCATATTTGTTTAATGTGAGAAGAATGATACCATAGAGTGCTACGAGTTCAGAGGTTAGGTGGATGTAAAATAAGATGTAAAATAGTTGTTCGTTTTTATTTGTCAAATATACAGTTTAGCAGTCAATATACAAAAAAGTAGCTTTTTGTCAATTTTTCAAGAATAAAATAGCACCATGTTGTTAAAAATGCACAAAAATTATTTGTTGTTTAGCTAAGCAACATACTGTCATGCTTTCTAAAAAGGGGTTTCAAATCAATCACTTAGGAGGTTTCATTTTGGGTCGGATGGTGAATTTGAAGGTAACTGCTCATGCAGATAAGGAAGCAGGTCCTTTGACATCTGTGTTTCTCTTTGCTGTGTGTGTTCAGGGTGGCAGTGGAGGCCCTGCGGATCCTACTGGGTCGAGCTCAGCTGGACGCTGTCGTGAAACCATTAGATCAGGAGGGAGCTTGGGACAAGATGAAGGACCCGCAGCAGCACACAACAGGAGTCACTCTGCTCTCCAGGTGCATATACCTGTCCTTTGTCATACACCAGTTCTCTTGGACAGACCTTTCTGCTATGTTAAAGGAGATGTGTATAACCATAGAACTGTTCTTGAAGACACAGGATGTGTTCAATTACAACATTTTGAGAGTGCTACACGTTGATTTCATGCTTGTTGTCTCATGCTATGTTTTTGTGGAAATTGTCAAGTTCAGACTCAGAGTAATAAATAATTTTTCGAATTTACACGTCTCATTGCGGTAAGATTAAATGTGGTCTTCTGCAATACTCGATTTTGAAAAAGTTATTCTTTCTATCAGAGCAATGGCAAAGCATGCTGGTCCAAGACTCCCCGCAATTGTGGAGAGTCTGTGTCCTTCTCTCTGTAATATTTACGAGTGCCAGAGGATCACAGTCACAGCCTTCTTCTCTGAGGTGAGAACATTCAGATTTATGTTTTAACAGATAACATTTCTGCTTAATTCAAAATTTCTGCTTAGTACAATGAATAGCTAAAGACTAATTATTTTACAAAACCACAGATTGTTCAGTGTTTTAACAGTAGGTTATTTTATACGACTGTTCGAAAGTTTGGAGTCAGTGTGATGTATAGTATATATATACTATATACGTATATTATATAGTATATATTACAAAAGATTTCACTTTCAAATCAGTGCTGTTTTTTAAACCTTCTATTCATCAAATAATTCTTAAGAATCTATCATAGTTTCCACAAAAAAAATAAATAAATAAATAAATAAATAAATAAATAAAAAGTAACTGTTTTCAATATTAATAACTTTGGCCTGTTCTTGTATTCACCCCTTTAAGACAATACGACTTAAACTGACTAGCGTTACATAAACAAAAAAAATACTAAGTGCAATGTTTTATGATATCTTCAGATGTTTCTAGACTCAAATGTCAAGATTTATTTGTTTTCCCCTTCTAGCTGCTGAACCACCACGTAGTGACTGAACTGATGATTTTGGACATGTTGATGAACAACATGATGGAAAGAATTACTGACACCTGCGGTACTGTCCGCATGCTGGCTGTCCGAGGCCTGGGGAACATTGCTGTGGGCTCACCTGAGAAGGTACAGAAGCTCTGCTTGACATCTGAAAACACTAATTGGATGAAGATTCCAATTGATTTTTTTAGGCAATGTTTCTTGGCAACAGTGTGAGATACATGCAACATTCAGTAAGGAAATGTGCATAAAATTGTCTGCAATCAATAATTGTATCTAACAACTGCTGCCAAAAAGTTTCCCATGTTCCCCATGCCCTCCATTGTTCTGCTCTGATTTTTTTCTTCTCTCTGTAGTCAAATGAAGTTATAGCATTACTTTCAAAAGCTTGGTAACACAATCAGTTAGTTAAGTGTGTAATTATACACTGCTAAACTTTGCTGTTTTTTGTTTTCTTTTCCTCATTCAGGTGAATAAGTACGCAAAGGAGCTTTTAGCAGCCATGAGTTCAGGAATGGAAGAGAAGGATGATCCTGGGAAACTCATCACATTGGAGGCCATGTCAGGAATGTCCAAAATATTGCTTTACCTGGACCAAAAGAATGTCCAGCTGCTTGTGGTTTACATCTTCATGAAGATAAAACCCTTTCTGGAGAATGTGAGTGTTTGAGAGAAGGCACAGAATATCTAAATCACAATTATGAAGCATTTTATTTATTCCAATTTAAAAAAAAGAAAGAAAAAAAAAGGTATTTTTTAAAACATAATAAAAGCACAAGTCCAATGTTTCCACAACTATTTTTGTTACAGTACATAAAATAATTACCAAAAATATTGCGTGTGTGTTCCCCATTTGGATCCTTTTCTACTGCCTGGTAGGCAAATACTAAAATAATTTGATTAATAAAGAAGTAATAATAAAAAAATACTATTAAAAATTGTTGAGCTCTTGCACACAAATCTGAGGTTAACAAATTATGGTTTCGACTGCATACTGTTACCATACTGTACCCATTCTGGCATAGTTTTGTAATTTTTAAAAGAAAAATGTATCAATTTTGTCTATTTAAATATCAGCTTTAAACTGTATGTGCACATATCCTTGATTTTGGTAACATGGTTGCACAAGTTCCAAACAATTAAACTTTACTCGAAAGATCTTTTGTCATGTTCTGTCAGGAGAACGATGAGATCCGATGTGCTTCCATCATGCTCCTGGGAAACCTATCAAAGTTTGGCTCAGGTGAGCCCATCTTTAAAGACCAGATCCACAATGTTCTGGTCAGCTTGTTGTTGCACCTCAATGATCCCAACCCTCAAGTGGTCAAGGTCAGTGTCTGCACATACTCCTACAATGATTTCTTTTGTTATAATGATTATAAATATTATAATTTAGTTCAAAAGGATTACGGTATGCAAAAACCAGATGTCTTTAAAGAATAATAATGGAAATATTGCATGTTTGTGTTAATGTGTGTGTCTTTGTTCCCCTAGGCATGCAAGTATGCCATGCGCGTGTGCGCTCCAGTTGTAGGTTCAGAACAGATCTCTGCCATGTTCCAGAATCATCTTCTTGAGGAGAAGGGTCTGCACTATGGAGAGTTCATTAATGACCTCACCAAATACCTAGTATGGCAAGAACCGAAACTTAACTATGAGTAGTAAAGCTCTCTGCATGCTGATGAGTTGACTGATTCCCTTTTATAGATTGCTGTTATTATAATCACTGTGCTATGCTACATTTGGATATATTATTGTATTCTACTTTGATATACTTAATGTTTTTAATGTTGTCAGCCGTTTTAGTTTATAATACTGGGACTAAACACGTCCAGTTCACACTGAGAACAATAACTATAATGAAAACTATATTAGTGTCCACACCAACACACAATATCGTTATGTTTATTACAAGCATGTGCTGCTTTTTATTTGCCTGCTGCTTTAAAAGTTAGAGCTTAATTAGTGGTGCTTGCTGAAAGCAAGGCAACACTATTACTATTGTGTTTTTTGAGTCGGCCCAAAAGTTTGGCGCGCTACTCCTCCCGCAGTTTTTGTCACACACCCATGAATGAGGTCTCAAAACGTGCGGAATATTCGGGAATGGTGTGCTATGACTTTTCTAAGCGATCGGGGGTACGATGTTCGCCCGAAGGGCGAACAAATTTCCCAAAAATCCCATAGACTTAACATTGCGACAAACTTTGACGACTCATAGCTCCGAGCGAGGATTTCACAGAAGCCTGCGATTTACCACATTTGAAGAGGCTGACAGGCTCTGTAAGAACATACCTCACAATGGGGTAAAAGTTGCACCCCTGGGGGGCAGGAGCTGCCCAAATTTTCCCCCATTGACCCCAATGTTATTTAAAATTTCTAGTATAACATTATACTATTCCAGGAAAAAGTTTGGCGCACTCCTACGTCCACAGTTTTTGTCACAGACCCATGAATGAGGCATCAAATCGTGCGGCCTATTGAAGAGAAGTGTCCTATCACTTTTAACAGAGATCGGGGGTACGGTGTTCGACCCAGGGGCGAACAAATTTCCAAAAAATCCCATAGACTTAACATTGAGACAAACTTTGACGACTCATAGCTCCGAACAACGATTTCGGAAAAACGTGTGATTTACCACATTTGAAGAGGCTGGCAGCCTCTGTAAGAACATACCTCACAATGGGGTAAAAGTTGCACCCCTGGGGGGCAGGAGCTACCCAAAATTTTCCCCATTGACTTACTATGGTGAAGGATGTCCCATCAAATGCATGTGTTTTTCCTACTATGGTAAATTGCATAGGGATTTTGTATTGAACATAGCTCTGGATCATAGTGTCATAGAGACAAGGGGGCGGGCTCATTTTACTCAGACGACCAATCAGTCTCTCAGGATCATTGTGAAGCTATCAAGCCACGCCCTAGCAACCATATAGAGCACCTTAGCAACAACTCCCATAGACTTCCATTGAAAGAGATCAAAGGGATATCTCCGGATAGAAGTGTCATAGAAACACAAGGGTGGTCTCGTTTGACTCGGGGTAGCAAACAGCCAATCATGAATCACCTCAACAATTTCTGGCCACACCCTAGCAACCATTATCGAGCACCTTAGCAACCAAATTTTAAAGAGGGATATCTTCCATTCTGAATGTCATACAGGCTTGGGAGTTGTATTATATCAATTATACTGACAAGCAGCCTTTGGAGATTCATGATTGGCAGCTGCCAAGCCACTCCCTAGCAACCAAAAATAGTACCCTAGCAACCATTTTGCAAGGCCTACATCTCTTTATCAGAACATCGTATAGAGATGGGGGTTGGTTTATACATTCACATTGACTTTGGAGCTTCATGATTGGAAGCTGCCAAGCCACTCCCTAGCAACCAAACAGAGTACCCTAGCAACCATTTTGTAACAGCTATATCTCAGCATCAGAACATTGTATCACGATGGGGGTTGGGTCTTTTGACTCATGCTAGCACATAGAACTTTCAAAATGCTAAACATGCTAGCTGTGAATAGCTACATGCTAATATTGATTAGCTAAGTGCTAAATCATGCCATGAACAATATAAAAACTCTATAATAACCATATGTGAACACTACCAACCACCTAGTAATACCATAGCAACTACCCAGAATACCCTAGCAACAACCTAACAACACCATAGCAACCACCCAGAACACCCTAGCAACCGCATAGCAACACCCTAGCAACCACCTAGAAACTATCCAGAACACCTTAGCAACACCCTAGCAACCACCTAGCAACACCCTAGCAACCACCCCAAACACCATAGCAACCACCTAGCAACACCTTAGCAACCACCCAGAACACCCTAGCAACCACCTAGCAACACCATAGCAACCACCGAGCAACACCCTAGCAACCGCCTAGCAACCATCCAGAACACCCTAGCAACACCCTAGCAACCACCTAGCAACACCCTAGCAACCACCCAGAACACCCTAGCAACCACCTTGCAATACCCTAGCAACCACCTAGCAACACCCTAGCAACCACCCAGAACACCCTAGCAACCGCCTAGCAACACCCTAGCAACCACCTAGCAACACCTTAGCAACCACCGAGCAACACCCTAGCAACTGCCTAGCAACCTTCCAGAACACCTTAGAAACACCCTAGCAACCACCTAGCAACCATCCAGAACACCCTAACAACCGCCTAGTAACAACCTAGCAACACCCTAGCAACCACCTAGCAACACCTTAGCAACTACCCAGAACACATTGGCAACCACCCATAATACCCTAGCAACTGCATAGCAACCACCCAGAATACCCTGACAACCAACTAGCAACCACCCAGAACACCCTAGCAACCGGGTGGTGAGTTTTGCCACTGCAAGCACCACTTCACATTTTCGTCTGGAAATGTAATAACTTTATATTTACGCCCTAGCAACCACTTAGGGCAGCCTAGCAACCATAAATCAACATATTCAAGTCATTTCTCAGCTTCAGAAAATAGAAGAAACATGGATTTTGCCTTTTTTTGATTTAGACTGTCAACTAGTGTTTAAATATAATCTCATACACTGTATAATCACACCATAGCAACCATATAGAGTACCCTAGTAACCACCTGAACACATGAATAAGCCATTTCTCAGCTGAATAAACAATTTATCACCACAAAAACATCGTACAGACGTGTTTGGTGTCTCGTATGCAAAAATGTGCCACACTCTAGCAACCGAGCGAGCTTTTTGCCACTGCAAGCACCACTTCACATTTTCCTCTGGAAATGTACATTCTAGTGTTTTTTACCATCCACCTTTTTTTCTTTTCTTATTTGGTGGACATTGTGAAAGTGATTCAAATGATATTGTTCCACTGTGCCATTATTGTTATAGTTGAGGCGGGGACTCTGCTATCCAATTTTGAACTTTTTTTTTTCTTTTAAAATTATATTTATAATTTATATTTATAATATAAAATTTATAATATAATTATATTATATTAATCATAATGTGTTTCTGCAAAGATCCAGGATTTCCCAGGTATGCTGAACTTCTACCACATCACAGTCATTCAGTTCTTCAAGAGTAACTGGTCTGAGATCAGAGCCGGTGCTGCCATGTTCATTGGTAAAAACCTTTTTTATTATTATTATTTCAGTGTTTAGTATTGCAAATATGTAGGCTTCATAGATTAGTTTTTAAACTTTAATATTACAATACAATATTAAAAAAAACCCTACTATTTTTTCCTACTATTATTTTGTGATGGCTTTGTAACCGTATTTTTGTGAATTTTTAGGGTTTTTGCTTGGAAACCTTCATGATGAGCATTTCTCCCATATGAATATGGGGTCAGTGACCAAGGGTAGGTACAGCAGTTCTATAATAATATCTGCAGTCAAGAGATATATTTAAGGAAGGACAACACATCCTTGTTATTGTGCTACATTTGCTGTTTCTTGGCACCTAAGGAATCTATTATTTTTGCTTCTATTTTAATGGTGATTTTGTCTGGTAGTGCATTGTAGAATGTATTGCTGTTGAAACTCAAAAAAAAGAAAAAATGCACCATGCTCTTGGTTATCACCTGACTTGTATGTTCAATGAAACTAATTTTTGTTTGATCAATGGACTAAGTTATATTTCCCTTGTATGTTTTCCTCTCTCCAGGTCTGGTGATGCTGCTGCAGGATCCAGATCCTCTCGTGCGAGTGAAAGCCGCTGAAGCCATGGGTCATTTTCACTGACGTTACCTCAACTCTACAGCCAATCAGATTGGTCTTTTGATTTTAAGTTTGTTGCTTTGAATTATTGTTCTAAAGGTTTTTTTTTTTTTTTTTTTTTTGACCAAAGACTGTTCACTAGTTCTGTAAGAAAAGAGACGAATAAAAAAAGACATATATTGACGTTACAGCACTTTAACTGCAAGTACTCTCAGATATACACGGTGTGTGTGTGTGTGTGTGTGTGTGTGTCTGATCCCTAGAGGGGGGGTTTTCACCTGCGTTGGATTTTAATGTAAGGTATGTACTTTCAAGCCCTTTACAAATGAGATATACTGAAGTTTGTATGCAAGTACACTGATATTGCTGGTATTACTTGTTTGACCATTCCTGTATCCTGCTAAATGCATATCAACACTTCATTAAAGGGGTCATGAATTGACATGCAAGAGGTCACTGTACAATAAAAAGCATTCTAAACGTTTCAGAACTTAAAACATTCGTTGTTAGTCCAAAAACATATTTTATTGAAACCAAGCTCTGAAAATGACTCATTTCAGATGTTGTCACATTTATGACATAGTGCAAGTAAAGACCGCCCCTGCAGAATCAGATCGATGCCTACTTCTACATCATAAAATCTGGCGCGTTAGTGAGATGAGAAGAGCGATAAATGATCATCACTAGACTAAAAATAACATTACATTCTAAAGCATCCTAATGATAGGAAAGTAGGTACATTTCATTGTGGATTCTTCGGTAAATCAGTCGCAATTTTGGTGCAAGTTTTGAAAACAGACAGTAATGCCCAACATGTAAGTAACGGTTAATTCTAATGCCTGATCTGCAATCAGTGATTTCTGATATGTAATGATTTCTGATCCGTCAGATGTTTTTTGTCTCAAAATCGTTTATTTCTGTTTATGTGTCAGTAAATCAAGCCAATGAAAAAACGGTCAACTTGACATCGTTTCTCTTAGTAGCACAAACATAATCTGTTATTTATATTGTGATAATTATAAACATAAAGCAGTGATAATTATAAACATAATTTATGACGCTGTCTACTCCGCACAATGAATCTCTTATAAACATCTTATTTGCACTGTTAGTTAAGATTAAATTGAGTAGGTCTAAATATAATGTGTAGAGAGTAGATCTAAAAATAGACCTAATGCTATTTGCATTATTAGTTAATCTAGATAGCTGCAATAGTAAAAATGTAGTAAAAGTGTTTGAGAGTTAGATGTTAGCCAATCATAGAAGTGGGCGTGTACATCTCACAGCAGACACGCCCCTGAAAACTAGCGGGACTCAAATTTGAGGGCTAAAATCAGTGAAGAAAATTGGCTTTTATATCTAAATTATGACATTTTCTGATTTAAAAGTCACACTAACGTTATAATTGCACCTCTGAAAACATAAAATAAAAAAGTTCATGACCCCTTTAAATCATTAAAAATGTATGTAGGATGAATCAATATATTAGAAACTACAATCAACACTGTTTTTCGGGTTATGAAATCTGATGTACTGCTCGGTTTGAGTTTAATCCTCTAAAAATGTTATAAGTAGACTGTTGAGTCATATTGGCCACCCTATACCTTTAGCAATAAATCACCGTAATACGGATGTGCATTAGCATAATCTGCTTAGCCATTAACTGCACCTGAAATCTCCTGTTGTCCTTAATCAAAAAAGATAAGCATTATAGTGTTTTTGCTGTGACATCTGTGGTTTCTGATTGTACCTCATGCACCATAGTGAAACAAACAAAATTGTGCTTCCTTCTCATCCAAGTCGGAAAAGTAGACCATATTCACTGTAAAATCTTACATTGTTCTTACTAAGATTTTTTTTTGTTAACTTAACTTAATGTCTAATAATTTGTTGAACTTACTTAAAATTTCTTAGTAATCTGTACTGTTCGCATGCTATGCCTTCTTTACTCAGAAAAACCTTGTAAACATTACTTGACTGGTTTGAATACCATTTAGCATTTTGAGTACCATATATATATATATATAGCTTTTTTATTTCATTAATTGACCGTTACAATTTTTTTTGCGGTCTCTTGTAAGTATAACCCCAATAACGATAGCAAATAAAATTGTAATGGTAAAATAAAGCCAAAAATAGAAAAACAAAGCAATTAATTTATTCATGCCGCAATGCACTTTGGGAGTACACTTCCTCCGATCACAGACAGAATTAAGTTGACAAAACTTAAATGGATTAAGAATAACTTGATGCAATTAAGTTTTGCTTACTTAATGAAATTAAGGCAACGAGTTTGCATAATAAAATTAAGTAAAACATAGATTTGTAGGTTGAATTGCATTAGAGTATTAAAAGATTTCTGACATGTATCATACTCGTTTTGCAAAGCGTCTGTGTAGCTGAAACACCAGTGCCAGCCTTTCTGTGGCACTTGTCTTGTTCCGTTTTGTAAGTTACATTATATCGGTGAAATTAATGATAATTCACAAGTGTCGTCACAGTTTTAGAATGTTGAGTATTGAATTCATTAAATTGATCATTTTATCTTAATAAACAGGACAAAAAAGTGATGATTGTATGGTACATCTGCTATTTTTACAAGTTTGCTACCTACTGTACAATGAGAAACTATATAAACACAGACTTGTAAATCAAACTTTTAATGTAGCAATTAGTGGCAGTTATTCCTGGTCAGGAATCTCATGTGGTAATGACACTGGGAGAAGTCACTGAAATGGTGTTTGTTTGTTTTTTTCTGGGATAGATTTCGGAGCAATCACACTCACTGAAAGTTTCACAGGTCTGCTGGTCAATCATGGTATCAGGTGTTACGTTTGCATCTTCATATCAATTTGTTTAAATGTCTTAGATTTTTTACAGAATTGTTTTGTATCATGTAAAGCTGATCTCTGGATAATGGAGATGACAATAAGTAGAACTGAATAAAAGTTATTAGGCTATAACTGACAACTCAGACCTCAACTGTCATGTTCGTTTAATTGATAAAGAGTGTTGGAATTTTTATTTATAAGTTCACACACAATCGTTTTTTTCCTCAACTTTCTGACCGCAAAATTGCGAACGGTAGTGTGTTAGCTACCAAATTTTTCGTAAAACATTAGACAAAAGCCGAAATTTCTGATATTTCATGGTGGCCGTAGACACCGTTACCTCAACTAAACTTGTACAGGAACGCACGAGGCCTGGGCTATTTCACTTCCAGATGTAGCCACAAGAGGCCACCACAATGCGAGTTAAAGAGGCCCCTTGACACTTCCAGCATTAAAAGCTGACTAACAACATAAATGACGAGCCTAACCGAATGAGACTGCTCATCCAACAATAATTCTACTGGACCAAAAGGTCAAAGCTACCTTGATTAGATTCTGATTTTCAAAATCACATTACATTTGCAGGCAAATAGAAAGGCCTTTTAATCCTTAATGAAGGTGTTTGAAAGATTAGAGTCAGGACTACATGAGATTGTGACTGTGGACACGTGGTGTGTACCTGAGGGTAATTTTCTCTGTTGGATGCGCTGGCCGTCGTTCTCCTAATCAAGCTGATCTTGCCTTTCGGCTCACGTCTATTTATTCTCTCCACCTATTCTGCCGGCTATAGCAGCAAGATTAGCCTTCATTTGTTTGCAGTTTGATAACGTTTTCATTGTGTCCATTTCTCAAATTTAAAAATGGGCAGAAAATGGGGAAATGTTTATGTGTGTGCAGAGAGAGAGAATTGGAGCACATAGGATATATGATGTATGTATATACTGTATATAATATATATAACTAATTCTACAGAGCCCTATAAGGGGACCTCTACAAAAAATAAAAAAATAAAACTTGCATAGTTTCGCGCACGCGATACGTTTCTTGTGCGCACCCATTACTACAAACTTCTCTAGATTACAAAATTACGAAACTATCGCGTGCAATCGCAAAACATTTCGCGTGGAAAGTGAGTCTTCATTTATTTATTGTTTGCAAATGTCCATGCTCTTGTTTTCTTCATAGTAATGACAGTGACACAAATTGTACGCAAACCAGAAATTGTAATGCGTGCGCACGAGAAACTTATCGCGTGCGCAAGAGAAACTATCGTGTGCAATCGTGTGCGCACGCAAAACATTTCGCGTAGCACGCTATAGTCTTCATTTATTTATTAATTTATTTATTGTTTGCAAATGTCAATTTAGGGGCTCCATAAAATATTTTTTTTTTTCAGAATTTTATGACAGGGCCTTCTGCATTAAAAACAAGCTGAAACGTCAGAAAACTCCTCAAGGCTTCATTTAATCTGCGAGAAGAGTCAAGTTCTGATAGCCTGGGTTTCCCCATTCTGCCTTGCCGCAGCGCGATTTAATTCGCCCTGCTAGGCAGTCTGGATACCATGAACCAAATTTTCCCCTGAAAAAGGGAACCAATCATAGAACGGGGAGGGAGCACAGGCGCATTTGATAGACATTTGTAGCACCCAATAATACGGCTCGGGCATTCGTAAACCACGCCTCAAATACGAGAAATTGAACGTGTGGTTTCCAGACCACGTTTCATTCTCAATGAGACGTGGTCTGGCGTTAGCCAGGCTAAAGTTCTGATGTTCCGCTGATATAATCAGCACATGCTGTACTTTATCCCTCCCGTTCCACCACTTATCGCGTACAATCGCATGTGCACGCAAAACATTTCGCGTAGCATGCGATAGTCTTCATTTATTTATTAATTTATTTATTGTTTGCAAATATCCATGCTCTTGTTTTCTTCATAGTAATGACAGTGACGCAAATTGTACGCCAAACTGGAAATTGTAATGCGTGTGCATGCGAAACTTATCGTGTGCGCATGAGAAACATTGCGTGCGCAAGAATCACGTGCAATCGCGTGCGCACGCAAAACATTTCGTGTAGCACGCAATAGTCTTCATTAATTTATTGATTTATTTATTGTTTGCAAATGTCAATTTAGGGGCTCCATAAAATAATTTTTCCAGAATTTTATGACAGGGCCTTCTGCATTAAAAATAAGCTGAAACGTCAGAAAACTCCTCAAGGCTTCATTTAATCTGCGAGAAGAGTCAAGTTCTGATGTTCTGCTGATATAATCAGCACATGCTGTACTTTATCCCTGCAGTTTACCTGTAGGACTGAGCTTTACACTGTATGTAATATTTAATAATATAATTTATAAATGGCTCAGAGCTCTTAAATGCACCCTTTCCAGCCTTACAGAAATCTTCTGAAATTTGTTCATTCCCACCGAGCAAATACGAGAATAGCCTACACGCTGTTTACTTACTTTTTATCGACCCTATTTCCAGAATAATTTTCCAAACGTTATTTTCTGTTACTACAGAGCTCAGATTGTTTATTCTATACAAACGCTCAGATTTCTGCACCGTAATGATTTCAGCACACTTTCAAGGGAAAGTTTCTATCTCCCTCTCACTATCCATCCTTCTGGCTCTCCCTCACCCTTTCTCTGAAATTACACTCATTCATTCCCCTGTGTCAGAGCAGGAGAGAGAGAGACAGCGAGTGTGTATCTGAAGTTGACCTGGCTCTCTGAGAACATATGGATCTAATCTAAGACTCGATTGCTTGGCTCACATGTGATAGTACCCATCAATTCATACCCTGTGATGCAATGGGAGAAAATCCTTCCAGAGTTCTGAGGGTATTATATTTCAGTGTGGATGATGCCAGAGCAGAGCAGGGCAAAATAGATTGTGGCCTTGTAGATGTTAAAACTATTTCAATATCTAATGCTGCATTAGTCTCTGCTGTTTCATGAAAATATTGCCCTGC